TACTGATTTGACATAGGTGTTGGTCACATGTTGGCCTCCTGGGGGGGGAGGTTAAGTAAGGAGCCCCCTCCTTCGAAAGATCTCCTCCAAGATGGCCCCCGAGGCTCACAAGGGTGCCCCAGGACGGCCCCAAGAAGTGCCCAGGCCCAAGAGGCCCCTAAGAGGCCCCAAGAAGCTCCCAAAGGATCCCAAGAGACCCGCAAGACGTCCCTAGAGGCCGCCCAGAGGCACCCAAGAGGCCTCGGCGAGAACATCAAATCACATGCCTTTTACAATCCATGACCCCATGTTTGCCCCCAGGGCGGGGCCCCAATGTGAGGACCTCCTCATCCAGGAGGCTCCAAGAGGCTCCCAAGATGCCCCCAAGAGGCCCCCAAGATGCCGCCCATACACCTCCATAGGCCCCCAAGAGGCCCCCAAGATGCCGCCCCCGAGAGGCTCCTCAGAGGCACCCGAAACGCCCCAAGAGGTGCCCCCGCACTGCCAAGAGGTCCCCAATACACCCCAAAAGGATTCCGAACGACTCTCGGAGGAAATCCGAAGAGACGCCGAGAAGCATCCACGAGGCGTCTGGCCTTTCTGCTCGCCCTCCTCCTCCTCCTCCTCCTCCTCCTCCCCCTCCTCCTCCTCCCCCTCCTCCTCCTCCTCTCCTCCTCCTCCTCCTCCTCCTCCTCCTCCTCCTCCTCCTCCTCCTCTTCCTCTTCCTCTTCCTCCTCACCATCACCATCACCATCACCGTCACCATCACCATCACCAGCACCAGCACCAGCACCATCACCATCACCATCACCATCACCATCACCATCACCATCACCATCACCATCACCATCACCATCACCATCACCATCACCATCACCACCATCCATCATCATCATCATCATCATCATCATCATCATCATCATCATCATCATCATCATCATCATCATCATCATCATCATCACCATCATCATCATCATCATCAGCATCAGCATCAGCATCATCATCATCATCATCAGCATCAGCATCATCATCATCATCATCATCATCATCATCATCATCATCATCATCATCATCATCAGCATCATCATCATCATCATCATCATCAGCATCAGCATCATCCGCCTGTTTCTCCTCGTTCCTCCTCCCTCCTCCCTCCTCCCTCTCCCTACTCCTCCTCCTGCTTCTACGGTTCCTCCTCCATCCTTCCCCTCTAGGGGTAGGACGTCTGGCCCAACACGTCGTTCCACAGCATGCTCCTCCGCATCCGTGATTAGGGTAACTCGCCTGGGCATCGTTTCTGGGTGGGCTAGTAGGGTTGCGCGAAGCGTCTAGAATATCAGAATCGAATCGGATCGGGCCGACCGAAGCCGATATCGGATCGGATCGATCGGATCGACATGGACCCTGACCTGTGGGGCTAACGAATCAGCTGAAAGCAACTGGCTTTCGCGGACGACCGCAAGCGTCGGGGGGGCCAACCTCATCGAGGAAGACGTGCCTGGCGGGGGAACGAAACGCGGGTGCGTGCAGCAAGTTTCGGACTCCCGCCCTCTGCTGCCCCCTCCTTTCGTTCGCCCTGGTCCGCGAGGGCCTCAGCTCAAGACGGCTGTGCCCACTACTCACTGTGAACAACAGAAGAACAGGCGGTAGCTCGGATGCGAATCGCCCGTACACGCCCTACCCTCTGCCCTCTTCCTGCTGCCCCAGGGCCGACGCCATGGGCCACCATCCCTCTCCGACGATGACGGCGTCGTCTAGCGCAGTGGGCGCTCAGAAGAACCGCCGCCTAGGTCAAGCTGGAGGCGTTTCCGAGAACTTCGCGCAGCGCCCCGAAGTGGAGGTGGAAACCCACCAGCCCACCGCTGAGGTGATGGGGTCAGGGCGAACCGCACCTTTACATTCCAGAGTCTGGTGTGTGCGGGTGTTTGTGCGAGTGGTTTTTCTGCGCACAGCGTTGCACCTTCTGGATGTCGGCGCGCCGGGCCGCCGCCAACGCTGTGCGTGTGTGCCGTTGCACACCTGCCTGCGCACCTCGGCGTGCCCCCCACCTGGGATCACACGTTTGTGGCTGCAGCGCGTCGGACGCACGTTCGGAGGACATTTCGCTCGCGTCCCGCTGGTCTACGGCCGACTCGACGTCGCGGACCAGGGGCACGCGCGTGCGCGTGCATCGACCTAACATTCGGAAGCTGTGCGTCGTGGGATCCGCACATTGGGGCACAAGCAGTAATGCGTGTCGCGGGGGCCATGTACCTGAGGGGATCGCGCATTGAGGGGGCTGGGGGGGGGCAGGGGAAACGCCCAGCTGGTGACAGCAAGGGGGAAGCGCACAGCGCACGTGCATACATCATATGATTCATTTGCGACGTCGAGATGTGTTACCCCATCGGGGGGGAACGTACCCGACGGGCAACCCGATCAATTGGGCGATCATATGGGCCTACCCGATGGGCCCACCTTATCGGGACAACCCACCCGATGGGCTCCACGACGGGGTGGGCAATCGGATGGGCCGCGCTGGCGGTTCAAGGGGGTAGGGTCCCCGTCTGAACGACCCTGGGCGTGGGGGCAGGGCCGCGTCGGTCGGCTGCGAAGTGCAACGCAGTGATGCTGCACAAACTTTGCAATACAATATACTGATCATGATATGGTTGCGGAACTCGACAAATTGCCGCTTTCTTTGTATCGGTCAGGCGTCAGCCCTAGGCCCGGATGGACAAACGCACTACGCATATATATACATATATATACATATATATGTATGTATGTATGTATGTATGTATGTATGTATGTATGTACGCACATGTTTACATGTATATACATGTATATACACGTGCGCGCAATACGGCAAGTCCTACGTCCAAAATCTGTTGGGGGACTGTCCACGGGGCCCATCGGAACGGACAGGTGTTGAACATGATATGGGTGCAACGATACTGTCAAGCTGTGATTAACAAAAGCGCGCAACGCGCGTGGTGAAACACAACGTTCCCGTGCTCGGGCGAATCGCGGCGGGTCGCCCGCCAAATTGACACGCGCGGCGACAGCGGCGCCGGCGATTGGCTCCGACGCCGGGCCGCCAGCGAGAAGGCGACAGGAACGGCGCGGACTGGGGGAAGGGCGGGGGGCGGGAAACACTGGCGGCAGAAGCATGGGCCGTCGGCGCCGCCACCGCCGCGTTGTTTCCTTGCTTCGCAGGTCGAGCGGGATTCCCGTCGCCGCGTTGGAAGCGGGCCCATGAACGAAACGGGCCCAACACTCTGGAATTCCCGCCAAGACCACCTCGGTCGTCTTTCGGCGGCCTCGAGGCCCGCTACGTACCCAGGGGCCCGAAAACAGGAACAACCTGCCAGGGCCCACGTCCCGCAAAACATGTGTCCACCGCGGCGCCCCGCAACACAGCAAAGAAGGCGAGCCAACTAGGCGCAGACCGAAGCTCGGCGTGTCCGAAAAGGGGCGTGGGAACACTGGGCACGACGTCCACCAGGAAATGTCGTTCGAAACAGATAGCGGCCGCTTTCGGGCATCGAGCTGACAACGTCCGCGGCGACACCCACAGGATGCAAACCTGCTGTTTCCACACTTTCCTCGTCCTCGTCCTCCTCCTGCTCCTCCTCTTCCTCATTCTCCTCTTTTTCCTCCTCCTCCCTCCACGATCCGTGCCGTTTGCCATCATCCGCGGCGCGGTGGCTCCCCGAGCTTTCCGAGCTCAGGCGTGCGCGATTCATTCAAAATGTTTGGTGCCCCCTCGGGGTCCAGTCATCAGGGATCAGCCCCGGGGGGGTCACCCATTTCGTTAACCACAAGCTGACATGGCTGGGCTGGGTGGGGTCTGTAAGCAGTTTCGCGCTGTGGGGGAAGGGCACGGCTGCGACGTGTGCGGAGGCGATGACTTCGACACCGGGGTTAGCCATGGCCCCGACAGGGGTGACGGCTATGACGGCGAGGGTGTGCACGCCATGACCGCCAGCGGGGAAACGGCCACAGCAACGCGGAGCCTGGGCAGTGGCCTCGAAACTGGAACACAGACCGACGAGATGACCGATGGGGGTGAAGGTCGTGATCTGACAATGGGTTCTGCTCATGAACTTGGTGGAGGTGGCATGGCAGTGGCACGAGGCTCGACTCATGACCGGGAAGGGGCTCTCGGCAATACGGGGGGGGGCTTCGATGCCTCTGCGACACATGTTGGACAGCGTTGGGGGACTGTCGGAGGCCTCTGGTGAGTCTTGGAGGCCGCGTCCGTAGTCCCAGGGCCATCTTGGGCCGTCTTGGCGGTCCCTTGGGGCCTTCTTGGGAAGTTGGGGCTTCCTGCACGCCGTCCTGGGGCACTCTTGGGCGTCCTGGGGTCCCTGTTGGGCAGCCTCGGGGCCGTCCTGGAGCCTTTTGCAGCCGTTTGGGGGCGATCTAAGAAACCCCTGAGTTGGTCGCGGGTCACGGGAAGCTCGCAATTGAGAGAACCTCCGAATCCTTTCAAACCCATGGGATATCAAAGGTTTTTGCCGCGGGCGGCCCCCTTGGGGGTGTTTTAGGGCCTTCTTGGGAGCCTGTTGGGTCGTGTCGTGGCCATCTTGGGGCCATTTGGAAGCCGCCCTCAGGATCTTTGGAGGCTCCTCAGAGCACATGTTGGGCAAGATTGAGGGCATGTCGGAGACTTCTGGAGCGTCCTGGAGGCCGCGTGCATCATTGCCCTGCTCGACATCCGACTGTGCGAGTAGAGAGGGGATCTACGCCATGGTAAGGGATGGGAGGGAGGGGTAGGATGTCAGATATGACGCGAGCGCACCTACTCCAGATTTCGTAATAGAAGGGAGGGGGTCTGGACCCTCCAAGACAAGCCATTTCAGACCCCCCCCCCGTGGGAGAACCCTCCAAAACATCGTCCCCAGACCCCCCCAGACCCTCCAAGATAGCTTGGAAGAGACCCCCCCCGAAATGAGACCCCCCTCCTTTTATTACGAAATCTGGAGTAGCTTGTCCTCCTCCCCCTCCCCCTCCTCCGTCCTTGCCGGGGCGCCGGCTGTACAGCGTCCGCACCAGCGCGGGCGCGGCACCGGGGCTGGCGTCCACCAGGCGCAGGGCCCCTCGCGGGCGCCGGAGGAGCAGGGCGGGAGCCACCCGCGCGGAGCACCGCGAGGAGGAGCAGGGCAGGCCGGGGCTCGAGCCGAGCAGTGCTTTTCGAGTTCGTGTTGTCTTCGTGCTCCTTCGTTCTGGCTTCGTCGTTGCTCCTCTGTCCTCGTTTTGCCTTCGTTTTGACTTCGTTTTTGTCTTCGTTTGTGTCTTCGTGCTCCTTCTTTCTGGCCTCGTGGTTGCTCCTTTGTCTTCGTGTTCCTTCGTTCTGTCTTCGCTGCTCCTCTGCCACGGAACGAGCGCAAAATGAGACCGGTCCACGAGATCGCCAAAGAACCGTTTGGCTCGAGCCCAGGAGAAAGAGAGGAAGACAAGTGGGATAATGAGGAGGAGGAGGAGGAGGAGGAGGAGGAGACAGGAGAAGCAGGAGCAGTAGTGAGAAAGGGGGGATGGAACAGGGAGGAGAAGCACGCAGTCGGAGGAAGGACTACCAGATGGAGCACAACGCACTTGGGCTGCGCAGGGGAAACGCCCTGCCGCACGACGAACCACGTTGCCGCAGATTGCCGCGCTCGGAGCGGATTTCCACTCGAGTTTCTCCATCTTCTCTTCTCGTGCTCCCTTCTCTCTTCTCCTCCTCCCTCCTCTTCCCTTCTCCTTACTCTCACTTCTTCATCGCGACGCTCCTTCAGCAGCAGTGCAGGTAAAAAGGGGGGAGGACGAGTGGGAGAATGAGAAGGAGTAGGCAGGAGGGGCAGGAGGGGTAGTGAGAAGTGTGGGATGGAGCAGTGAGGAGGAGAGCGCAGTCGGGTCAAGGTGGGAGGAGGGAGGAGCCAGGATGGATCGAGATGAGGAGGGCAGGGGAGGAGGAGGAGGAGGAGGAGGAAGAGGAAGGAGCATCGCGAGGAAGGAGGAGGAGGGAGAAGCGAGGGTAGGGAGAAGGGGCGAGGAGGGCGCAGGGAGAGGGAAGAGAAGGGGAGCCCGCGAGAAGAGAAGACGGGGAGGCTCGAGTGGACACCCGCTCCGAGCGCGGCGGCCTGCAGCAAAAAGCGGCTCGCCGCGCGGCGGAGCGCTCTCCCTGCGCAGGCCGGAGTGCCCGCTCCGGGCCGAGGGGTCCCTGGCAAGGCTCGGGCTCCGACCCCGCCCAACTCGCGGATGCCATCACTGAAGGGGCCCTGACACACACACACACACACACACACACACACACACACACACACACACACACACACACACACACACACACACACACACACACACACACACACACACACACACACACACACACACACACACACACACACACACACACACACACACACACACAACACACACACACACACACACACACACACACACACACACACACACACACACACACAACACACACATCACACACACACACAACACACACAACACACACAACACACACAACACACACAACACACAACACACAACACACACACACACAACACACACGGACACACAGATACAGACACACACAATCACACACACACACATATATATATATATATATACATATATATGTAGATACACACAAATAAAAAGATGCCCCATATTTTCCCACATGTTCTGGGTTTCTGTCTTCCCCCCACTTCCCATAATTTCCCATATTTTCTGGAAACCGACGTTTCATTGTGTCTGTGTTTTTTCCCCTCCTGAATCACGCACGAGATCCCGCAGCACGGGGATCCCATGCCGGCACGGCTGTCGCCCAACAAGGCGTGGGCGGCAGGGACACGGGACGGCGGGGGGACGGCAGGGATACGGGAAGAGGACGCAGAGGACGGGGAGGTCTGAGGCGTGGGCGGGTGAGAGCATGCGAGGGATGAAGAGGGATGGGAGAGGGTGAGGCGACCGGATGGGGAACAAGAGAGGGCAAACATTACAACCCCCCGCCCTGCGGGCAGTGCATCAACTACCGCCATGCACATCTTTCTGGGCGACTAGCCCAAGCTTGGTTCCCTCGCTGCAGCATGGTCAAACTCGCTCCCGTGATTGACCGCTGCAAACATGACACGGTCTCCAACACAGCCTGCCAAATACGTGCAACACCCTTCAACTGTGTAAATTACATTTGCGATTTCAGCACTAACCTCAAGCATTATGAAGGGACCTGTTCAAGCGTAGCCGCGATACTACGAGATGCCAGCGCGTGAACAACAATGGGCTTATCTGAGCACCACCACATGAGGAACCACGTGCGCGTAGAACCCTACTTAATTGTTATGGACCCCCATGTGTGTGCCTGTGGAACTTCATTGGTGTGGACCCCATGAGTGTGCGTGCGCAGAACCCCATGCGGACTCCGGCGTGTGTAATCGCATAGAGATGGAACCTCAGACGCGCAACCCCATGCGTGTGGAACTCAATGTGTGTGTGGGTGTGTGTGTGTGTGTGCGCATGTGGGACTTGATGTCCGCTTGTGTGTGTGTGTGTGTGAAAACGCATGCGTGCCGACCCCCATGTGTGCGAAACCTACCGACGGGAATCCTATGGTGTGGCAAGCCAGCTGCGCCACATGAAGACAACAGGAAAGAGCAAGGGCGCAGCAATGACGACACTGTTAACCCAGACTGAGATGGCCGCAAGTCTCGCCAACATTCGATGGCGCTGCGCTCTCATGCACTCCTTCTTCGTCTTCCCCTCACAAACACTGGGCACTGAATTTGCTGCCCACTTGGCAAGGGCGTGGTAAAACTGCGGACGCTCGGGTTGGTACGTATGCGATGCTTGCGGCGTGCCTCAACAACGTATAACAATGTATAGCGCATCTATTAGATTCACGTGCCCACGCTATACACCACAATCGTTCAAGCCCGTGTTTGAGAAGCCACGACACGGAACTGCATATGCGATCGTGCGGCATGCCACATCAGCAAACAAATCATCGGCACCGTCTGTGCCAGATATGGCGGCCCATGTACCACCGTCCTAGCGCGCAAGAGGGCTGATAGTGGACAACGGTGTGCTCAAAGTTCTGAGGGAAGCGCCACTCCCAGACATGCCCTCCTGACTCGCCTCCTCCCTCCAGGATGCTCCGAGGAGAGAGAGGGAGGAGAGAGAAGGGTAAGCCAAATGATAAGAAACAATCCTACACTATACCACCCGTCCGACAACATCGACTTGGTAATGCATCAACAACTTGGGTCAAGCATGATTCCGCTACCCCGCATCAAAACTCGGATTCTGATGACACACGGGACGCACACTCATTCTCCAATCATTCCCATGTTCAAAACAAGTGCACTTCGTCACCGGCTCCCTCTGCAATTCCGCCGCCGCTGATACCGCAAACATTCAGCTCGACTCAAACGGATAAATCCGCTGACCCCCCTGCGGGGGTCATCAAGCTGCTCGGTTGCGCAAAAATCTGGTCCAGGTTTTTGAGCAACCGAGCAGCTTGGTCCTTACCAACACAATCAGGAATTGGAGCCTCCAGAGAGCCAATGAAGCTCCCGGAGTGTTCCTCCGAGGCTCGTTGGAAATGACCAGAAGCTCCAGTACGACCCTGAGCATTTCTGTTTGGTGAGGGTTGTACTACGCAAGGGGGCCATTCAACTACCAATGCGGGACCCTTGCGGAGGACGCCTCGTGGACGCCCCCGGAGGCGGTCTGTATACCCCCTGCGAAGGGGTTGGTGTCGCGCTGCGAGGTGTCCTAGATATGAAGAGGAGCGCAAAGATCACTAAGAGAGACATGTCTGAAGGGACCCTGGGACACACAAACAAATACATACTAATACAAGGATTCCCCATATTTCCTAATATTTTTCTGGGATTTTGTCTTCCCCCCCACTTCCTATATTTTCCCATATTTTCTGGGGAGTCGACGATTAATAGTGTCTATGTTTGTTTCCCTCCTGAGAAGAGGAGCGCAAAGATCACTGAGAGAGACACGTCTGAGCACCGAATCTCTGCAACCGCCCTGATGCCCTGCATGGAGTCCTCGGGGCGGTAGCGCATACTCACCTGGCTGCATGGAGAGAGGCGCTCGCGCAGACAGCATGGGCAAACCTGGACCAGGCGTGCTGGCCACACCTCTGGATCAGATCTAGGGCTGATCCCTCCCCCCCCTCTCCTCCTCCTCATCCTCCTCCTCCTCCGCCTCCTCCTCCTCCTCCGCCTCCTCCTCCTCCGCCTCCGCCTCCTCCTCCTCCTCCTCCTCCTCCTCCTCCTTCTCGTCGTTCCCTCCGTCGGCGGCGGCGGCGTGCTGGTCGGAGCGCTGACAAGCGAGTCTGGGTCAGCCCTGTGCCCAAAACTGACCGAACAATACCACGGGGCCCGATCGACAAAAAAAACACTTTGCGGAGCGGCGCGGTGCCCAATTGAGCCCGCTGGGCCGATGCGAACTCGAGAAACAACCAAACATTTGACAACGACCTCGAGCCATGCAACATACAGTCGGGGCGTTGACCTAAGGAACCCTAAATAAGGAACGAGGTCCCATTGTTTCCACAAGTTAAACTTCGATTTCCCATCGAAAAAATAAGGAACACCTGAGGCAAGCTGTGAAACAATCAAGGAACACCGAGCCCCTCCCCAACGAAAAGGGTTCCTTCTTCAAGACCCCTGCTGTAAAACGAGCCGATCAACGTTCTGGAACAGAGCAGAACCTTGAATGCAAACGCAAAGGTACATCACGCGAAACGCAAACTAACTCTACACGATCGAACTACAATCGCCGTGCTGCTGGCGAGGTAAAGTGAATGCAACACCACTCGGACATGCGACAAACTGTGATGACTGACAGTAACTGTGGTTCCATGGCGACGAACACCCTCGATCAGAAGCAGTACCGCAGAAGAGATGGGGTGCCAGTGCAGCTTGCATAACCCGATCCGAACAGGCGAAACAATAGATACAATGACACCTGCAGCTGCTTTGCTCTGTCCAGCGTCCCCCATGGAAAGGGAGGGAGCGGAGGTGGGAAGTAGAGAGCAAGGAGACTATGCCCTCTGCCCTTGTCAGCGATGGTGCGTGACCATTTTTGGGAAAACGAAGCGGGCGGCACGTATAATGAGGGAATAATGATGAAGACCACTTTAGAAACGTCACTCTGCCAAACAACCAATGCTGTGGCTACAAAAAAACACCATACCCTTCAGGACAAACTGCAATTCGGCAAATGCCGAGGGGGTAAACACGTATTGCCTGACAATGCGGGAGACACAATATGAATACCTTTGCGTGTAGTTCGACCTCATGGCACAGTAGTCTCGACTGAGTGGGTAAACAAAGACTTCGACATTGCAAACTTTACGGCGCTGGCTTAACAGAACACGAACAATATCTTCAACGCGAGAAAAGAAGGGGGGGCAACTCGAAGAAATCCCACCAGCGCTCTGGGGTTCCACAAGTTTTGTCTTCTCCCGTTCCACAACCCCTCCTTCCCCTGAAATTATCACTGTTCCCCATTGCTATACACCCCCTCCCCCACCCAGCCAGCGGCCAACCCGGAACCATGCCAACCCTATGAGGGCCACCCCCAACACCATCCCTGTCAAACAACCGATACAAACCACACCGTGCCTCCACATTTGGAGCATGCGCGGCCAACCCGATGCGCCCCCCTGATGCCCGCGGGCACTTTGTACTGTTTTCGAAAGGGACGGCGGGGGTGTCAGCATATTCCCTACTGCGCGCAGGGCTACCACCCCTGACCAACAAAAACACTACACAATGCACTTCGCGGCTAATCTGGATCATGCGCAGCCACCCCGCGATCACTGTCAGATGGCTTTTGACAGTGACCGCGGGGGTAGTGGCGCGTTGCCTGATGTGCGCAGGCCCACCAGACACAATGGTGGGCGTGGGTTTTCGACAAGGATGGTGGGGACCGACATGTTTCCTGATGTGTGCCGTCACGTGCGCAGGCGCACCTGACGCACTCTGCATGTGTCCTGGACGTGGTGCACCTGACGCGGTTGGAGTGTGCGGCACACCTGGCGCACTCAGAGCACGTGGCGCATCTGGCGCCCCAGGGGTGCCTGGCGCGCATGGCGCCCCTGATACGCGTGGCGCACCTCGCCCAAGCGTTGCGCACCTGGTGTCGGCTTTGGTTCCCAGTGACTGTCCATCCCAAGCCGACCGCTGAACATGCTCAGGCCCGGGTGTTACTTATGTGTGGGGAGGGCGGGTGGGAGTGAGCTAGACGGCTTGCGGGCGGGTGGGTAAATTGATCAACGCTCCCTATTAATGAACACCCCCTCACCCATCCGGCCGGCAGCCAACCCGTAACCATGCGTACACCACGAGGGCCCCCCACCATCCCTTTGAAAAAAATACAAGATACACATTGCCGGGCCCACCCTGCCAACTCCCTCCACAATCCCCGTCCAAAAACAATACGAAGTGTACATTGCAACAAAATCTGGACAGTGCGCTGGCGCCCTGTGAGCACGCCGTATGTTTTTTGACTGAGATGGCGGGGTACTCTTAATGAAACCGCTGTGTAGGACCACCATCCGTGTCAAAAACAATGCAAAGTGCGCGTTGCGACAACGTCGTGGGTATTGTGTGCTGGCCACCCGCGATCACTTTGTAGTGTTTTTTGACAGGGACGGCGGTGGTGCCCGCATGATGATGCTTGCTATGCGCAGGCCCAGAACAGTGCTGACGTCCCCCACATCAGCATCTGGACCATGCGGACGGGGGGGCATCACATCTTTTACAATAATGCCACACCATCCGCATGTGGAGCCCGCGGCGAGCGTCGCGCACCTGGCGTCCTCTTTGGTTGCCAGTGACTGTCCATCTAGTGGTGACCCCTGGCTAGGCAGAGACTCGGATGCCACTCATGTGGTGGGAGGGCGGGTGGGAGTGAGCTAGACAGTTTGCGTACGGAGAGGGTGTCTTGACCCCTCCCTCTACCCCCTCCCCTGGGCCTGGGAGGGGGGGGGGGCACGAGGCATTAGAGCGACAAGATGGCCCAAGATGGCTCCAAGAGGGCCTCAGAGAGCCCAAGATGGCCTCCAAGATGGCTCAAGGTAGTTGAGGATAGCTCAGGATAGCCTCCCACATACATCGAAGACGCCTCAAGACGGCCCCAAGATGATTTCAAGTGCCCTAAAGCTCTCCAAGGACTCCCCCAAGAGGCCAAAATGGCTCCAAAACCTTAGGAACATCAATGATCTGTGCGTTCTCGCCTTTTCGCTTCTGATGGGCCTCCGAGGCCTCAGGATGGCCCCAAGACGGCTCAAGCAGAGCACCAGGAGGGGCCTAAGAGGGCCCGAAGAGGGCCCCAAGAGCGCCCAAGAGCACCCAAAGAGCGCCCCGAGAAGACGCCAAGAGGCAATGGTTGAGCCTCTGAGGTGGGGGCCTGAATTGAGAACCCCCGTCCTTTTGAGCTACGGAGGCCAAGCCTGCCTCAAGAGACCTCTCAGACCCGCCCAAAGAGCCCAAAGAGGGCCCCACGATGTCCCCAAACGGGCCCCAACAGGGCCCCAAGAGGACCTCAAGAGAGCCCCAAGATGGCCCTACGAGACCCCCGAGAGCGTCTCACAACAACGTTTCAACTCCGTTATCAAACTGCTGCTGAATGGGCAGGTGGGAATACATGAAGCTTCAAGAATTAAAATCCAACGCCGAGACCGTATCGCTGGCCAGCCTCTCAGCCTGGCGTTGGCTCATCTCGGTACTGAAGAGAACCGGTGTGGACAACACAAAAGCTGTCTGTAATGAGAGAGAGAGAGTAAGAAAGACATAACCAAACAAACAAGGTATGAAACACGATGGAGAACAAGAGGGAGAAGGCTGGAGGAGAACGTGAGAGAGGGGATGCCATTGCCTCTATCCGCCCAACATCTGCCAGTTCGGCACTGGGCTGCTCAATAGAAAGACCCCCCTTTGGACCAGCTTAACACATCGGTGACTCCAGCGCTTCCCGGCAAGGCAATCTCCTGTTTCGGGGAAGTCGCACGAACACGCAGAACTGGCAAATCTGCTCCCTGATGCGAACCCGCTTATCCCTCGCTGGCCCCCGCAAGGAAGTGACCGAGTGCATTGTACTTGGGAGCATGACTATGCACGTGGCTTGCATGTACATGTCGGTGCCGATGTGAGGCTTCATGTGAGAACACACTTGCAAGACTCCGATCGAATCGTCCTGCCTGATCTTGGGCAATTCGACATTGATTCCACCATGCACTTGATTCAGGATGCATCCGTTGGTAGCTGCACTCATGGGTGTGAATGTGCGCATATGTGCCAACAGTGCACGCGTCCAGCGCGCACGCTCTTCCTGAACTTCGAACGACGCTTGTCTCATCATGTCTGGCTGATTTCGCAATTGCTAGTGGCAAACTCCCTCAGAGAATCCAGTGGCGATCACCATGTATTATCATAGCCAGTCCTGGAATTGCTCGATGCTGAAACGCTGCCCCCTCACACATTAGACTGCAGCGGGTGCGGGGAAGTCCTCCTCAATACTGGTGCCTTCTTGTCCAAGCGTCTCCTGGACGAAACAAACTCGGTCCTGAGGAACACATGACACGACGACTCTCGACACCCAATGGAGACGCATTCAGAATGTGTTCTACGATGTCAACAAGCCAACTGACGGTGCGCGGATGTTACTCCTCGACGTGACTGCGTATTTCCCCTTGCCTTCGGATCTGGAACTCACATCAAGCAATTGCATAACAAAGAACAGACATCGGGACGGTGATGAAACATTGGTTCGGTGCTCTAGGGTACGATAGGCAACCGCAAGACTCGAACACTCGCTGCAAGAAGACCCGCGGTGATATCACTGTCACAGCATGCCGCACGCCTCGACAATGCCCACACCATTACCCTGCTTCGAACGATCCCCACCGAGGAACTGTTGCAACCGGTTCCAAACTTTGCCGACTCCTTCGTGTTGCCTCGGCATGAAAGATCAATGCCCCTCCCCACATCCATCTCCCGTAAGCCCGGTCTAGCCGGACTGGAGGGGGGGGATCCCCATGCGAGGGGGGCGGGTCCCCCCCCGATGCCCCAGACAGAGTCGTCCCCACCAGAACTGCTGCCAGACGCGTGAAGGTTCCACCACGTGGCTCCAGGACGGCCCAAGGAGTTCCGAGAAGGCCCAAGACGGCCCAAGATGGTCCAAACTGGCCTCAAGACGGCCCAACAGGTCCCCAAGGCGCCCTAGGACTGCCCCTAAGAGGCAAACATCGTTCATGACCATACAATGTTCGCACATGTTGACGTGCTCAACTTTTCAATCTTCAGGGTGTCTAAGACAACCCAAGAGGCCTCTAACGTCGCCCGAAACGGTCCGCAAGAGGACCACATAACGGCCCAACAGGGCCCCAATCAGGACCAAGAACCCTCCTAGTCTTCGGTTTCGCCCCCGAAACGGGTACCCCGGCGAAGTCAGCAGCCCAACTTCTAAGGAAGAGACGGTAAGCCAAGATGAAGACGAGAACGAGACGAAGGAGGAGGCCCTCCTTCTTCGTCTCTTCTCTCTCCTTCATCTCTTTCCCCTCCTCCTCTCTCCTTCTTCGTCTCATCCTCGTCTCATCTCGCTCCTTCTCTCCATCTTCGTCTCATCCCCTTCGTCTCCTCCTTCTTCCTTCTTCGTCTCATCTTCCTCTCTTCTCTCTCCTTCTTCGTCTCATCTTGCTCATTCTCTCTCCTTCATCTCTTCCTGCTCCTCCTCCTCCTGAAAGAGGCGCAAAGTGCCGTGCAGTCAGCGCTGCCCAATTAACTGAATAGGAGGAGGAGGATTCGGCGGTGGACAAACCTCCCTTTAGTAGACCTCCCCTTAGTGAAAACGGCCTGGGACCGAAACCAACGGACTTGGACCCGCAAAAAATGACGGCCGCGACGCCTTCTCGCGAACCGCAAACTGCCAATTCCTCAATCGACGTGTCAGGGTAGGAGGTCTGTCCATCCCCGAAGGATCAGGTTCAATGTGCAAATCGTGGTGGCAACCGAAGTTGCCCCCGGTGGCGTCAGAACAAGAAAAATACGAGGAAGAGGACCGATGGAAAGGAACTGACGATAAAAGGTGGGCGGGGAACATTCCGGCCACACGCAACAGGTTCGCTCTGAGAAAGGACAACATGTGACGCGCAACTTCAGGGGGGCTGCGGGGGGACACATCCGAGCGCGCCAGCCAGTGCTGGGGGATCGGAAACCATTGACACCTGTACAGTCAAGCCGTAGTACGGATGCGCGATGCGGCTGCAAGAGCCTTGCACACCCAATTCGATCGAAGCTGCCCAATTCGCCTCGACGCTTCCCGAGTGGGGCGCAGTCAACGAGCGTGGCCAAGCATGTGCCGAGGAGACAAGGATGCGATAGTACCCTCGGGTGATGTTGCTCCCACCGTCCTTCACGACCGCATCCCAGAACTAATTCCGAGTACCCGGCAAAGGTGCCGAAGCAGTGCCGAGGCGGTGCCGGACGAGGGCCCCCCAGGGCCCGACGCGTGAAAACCCTCCCGCTGCGGCACCTCCCTGGTGCTCGAAGCACTCTTCCTGGTGATGAGGGCCAGAGTAGGCTGGCACATCATAACCCTTGGGAAGGTTGCCCGTCCTTACTTTTGGACGCCCGAAATGGGTACGGAGAGAATGGGCATTGTGCCCCACAACAAGTGTCGTTTTAAACTAGCAGCGGCCGCTGTTGGGCAGGCGGCCTTCTGTCTCGACTGGACACAGGCAGCGGCGGCGTGGACAGCGAGCCCTGATCAAAATGAACAAGATCCGCTGTTGGGCATTGTACCCATTTTTTCAGTACCCATTTCGTGCGTGCAGACAGTAGGCTGGCACATCATCACCCTTGGGAAGGTTGCCCCTCCTTACTGGTGCGGGCTGCCTGTCGTTCACCCCTCCCCCGCGGCGACGGGCCCGCCCCTGGTGCGGCGGCCGACGGGCCCGCACCCGAGGCCACCCCCCCGCCGCGTGGACAGAGCTCCGGGCGCACGGGCGGCCCCCGTCCGAGCTCGTCGCGGAGCCACGCACGGCCACCGCGATGCGGTCGCCAGCGCCTTCCCCTTGGGGCTCCGTCGTTGTGCCCGCAGCCCTCCGCTGCCCTCTCGTCCTCTGCCCGTCCTGCTCCGCCGCCCTCCCCCTCGCTCCGCCCTCCCGTTCCTCCGGCCTCCACCCCCGGTCTCCTCAGGCCGCCTCCTCATCCCCCCTTCTCCTCTTTCGGTTCCCCTCTCCCCTCCCCTGCTCCTCCCCCTCCTCCCTCCTTCCCCCACAGTCGCTCTCGAAAGCAGTGGTTGCAAGCGCCCATGACTGCGCATGCAACGCTCGGTCCCCACCGACGCCCACACGAGGCACCTTACAAAACACACGCGCACCGTGTAGAGACGACGGACATACACACGGACAGACACAGACATCTACACAAGCACACACACACACACGAGCGCACGCCTATACTTACTGATCCGTGCGGCTAGAACAATCACAGGCGCGCCGCGCTCGCTCATGGTATGGATGGCTTGGGCACCAGGACGCGGCGATATTTGCTGCGCTGTGGAATCCAGATACCCAGAGTGGCGGTGGTCCATTCGGGCCATCTTGAGGCCTTTGCAGACGCTCTATTGCCTCACTCAGGGACGCCGTGGAGCGAGCCACTTCCGCCGAAGAGTTTGATACCCTATAATTCGTCAAATAGCCACGTCTGCCTCAGAGCATGAACTGATGCGTCTTGTATGATCGACAAGTCCTCTCGGTGAGAAGTGCGACGGACCTGACCGCCATTACTCGAGGCGAGCAAGCGGGTCTTCCATCTGCGTCGGGACGCATCAAAGGCTTGAGCCAAAATGGCAACGGACGTCTTGGGGCTGCCTTGGGATGTCTTGGAAATCTCTTGGGCCGTCTGGGGCCCATCGAGGCCATATAGCGAGCTCGCGTCAAACAGTTGATGAATGTCTCAGGGCACGTACATTTGAACGACCTCTACGCCCTCTTGGCGCAAAATAGCGAGGAATAGTGGGAAGGGGGGTAAGGAGAATGAGGAGGAACATGGACGACTACGGTGAGTTGCTGGCGACACACCCTGCCTGTCGAAGGAGCTGATGAGGCCAACTGCTGTGCAGCATGCGTATGGCCTCGTGGGCCCTTTTGGGTGCGCCCTCATGACACTCGTGTGGCGCCTTGGGGCCCTCGTGGGCCACTTGTGGTCTCCTGGGGTTCCCTTGGGCCGTTTTGAAACCCTCTTGGGCTGCCCCGCTGCCCCCATTGGACAGACTGGGGCCCCTCGAGGCCGTCTTGCGGCCCTTTCGGGGTCCGTCCTGGCGCCCTCTTGGGGCCGGCTGGAAACATTTGCGCGGCCTTTTGGTGCCGATAAAGGGAGCCTTTCGGGCCGTCTCGGACGCTCCGCGGGCCACAAAAAGCGATTATGTTAAGACCGTGAAGCGAACTCCAGGACAACAGATGATTTTGACATCATCGAATCCTCGTTGGAAGGACTCTTGGACAGCTTTGGGAGTGGAGCAGTCTTGGAGCCTTGCTGGTATGTGGTTCGGTCCACTCGGGTGGCCTTCTGTATCTCGGGCCGTGTTGGGACTGTCTTGGGCCGCGAAGGGGTGGTCGGGGTCCTGGTTCGAAGGCCGTGGGTCACCCGCTTGAGATCGAAGCACCAGCCCCTCCGTGCGCCGTCCCCGTTGCATGTACGGTTCTACGGGGGAATGGGTACTCCAGATTTCGTAATAAAACGGAGGATGTCTGGACCCTCCAAGACGAGCCATTTCAGACCCCCCCCCGTGGGAGAACCCTCCAAAACATCGTCCCCAGACCCCCCCAGGCCCTCCAGGATAGCCTGGAGGAGACCCCCCTCGAAATGAGACCCCCCTCCCTTTTATTACGAAATCTGGGGTAGGGCGCAACAGGAGCGGTCTCAAGACGCTCTGCCACTCTCCTCACGGTGGCACGGTCGCCGTGCTTCCACGTCGAGAACTGCAACGCTCCGCCCACGTACGTGTCGAGCAGAACAACCGGACTACAACCGACGGGTCGGTTGGGCGATCCTTCGGGTCGGGCGAAAGGGGGGGATAGCAAAGGGGGGGTTTGAGAATCAGCTCACGTAGCTGATTTTCCCGGCGCCTCCCAGCGCTGGAGGCGGCCATGTATCGAGGAATGGGCCCCTCGGTGAGGCCGAAACCAGCTGCATGCAGCAAATCTCGTAACCCCCCCTTTCCCAATCCCCCCCTTTCCCCCGGCCCGAATCCTGAAACCAGGATTTTCGGCCGGGGACGGCTCGACGACGAGCACATCACCGTCAGTACCAGAATCGCACGTCATCGGAAGAATCCTGCTGATGGTGAGGAGGATGATGGTGGTGATTGTGTGGATGGCGATAGTGATGCTGATGCTGCTGCTGATGATTATGGCGATGGTGATGACGATGGTGACGATGGTGATGATGGTGATGATAGTGATGATGGTGGTGATGATGATGATGATGATGGTGGTGATGCTGATGGTGATGGTGATGATGATGATGATGATGATGATTCTTCTGCTGCTGATGATGATGGTGGTGATGGTCATTGCGATGGAGATGGTGACGGTGATAATGCTGCTGCTGCTGATGACGATGACGATGACGATGACGATGATGATAATGATGATGATGATGATGATGATGATGATGATGACGATGACGATGACGATGACGATGACGATGACGATGATGATGATGATGATGATGATGATGATGATGATGATGATGATGATGATGATGATGATGATGATGATGATGATGCTGATGCTGATGCTGATGCTGATGCTGATGATGCTGATGATGATGATGATAAGATGATGATGATGATGATGATGATGATGATGATGATGATGATGATGATGATGATGATGATGATGATGATGATGATGATGATGCTGATGATGATGATGATGATGATGATGACGACTGGGTGCAAGCTTACAAAGGTCAGAAGCGGGGCTCACTCGCCGCGGTGGTTCTAAATACGTGTACGGCCGAGATGAGGGCCCGAGGCCCCCTCGGAGCCCACGACAGCGCCCCAGGGCCCACGCGGGCCCAAGCCAGCGCCGCCCAGAATTCCAAGCCGAATCCAGCCGACAAGGAAGGGCGCCCAAGGGTGGGCCCCCACGCGGAACGGGCCGAGGACCCCGCGCCGCAAGCGGTCCACGCGGAGGCGGCGCGCCGCGCCGGGCTGGCCGGGGGCGCCGCGGAGAGAGGAGCCGAGCAGGGGAGAACGCGCGCGGGACGCGCTCGTGGCTCGCGCTCGAGGCGGAGTGCCCGCAGCAGAGCCCGCGGCAGGCCGCCGTGGCTGCCGGCCTCCCCGCCCGCCTCGGCGCCCGCCCCTCGGTGACCTGCTCCTCGGCCTCCCCGAGAGCCGGCCGGGCGGAGCGGCTCGGGCGTCGAGCCTGCCCCCGTCGGCGCTCGGCCTCGGGCGCCGCCGGGGGGGCGCCACTCCTGGCGGAGGCGGCACGGCGCGGCTGGCCTGGCGCTCGGAAGCTCTGCCGCCGCAGCCCGCGCGGGGCCCCGCCACGCGGGGGCCCTGGTCTGCGGCACGGCCTGCGGTGGCTCTGCGCCGTGCTGGCGTTCCTCGCCGCCGCCGGCGCCGCGGCCTCGGCCGCCTGCGCTGCCGTCCTCGCTGGCGGCAGTGGGCTGGTCGACCACGGCTGCGGCCATGCCTCGGCGCCCGCGGGTGCTGCCGTCCGGCGCGGGGGTCTGCGCTCGGGGGGCTGGCGGGTGCCCCCACATCTCGTCGTCCTCGTCCTCCGCCTCGGCTTCGACCCGCCTGCTCCGAAGGGGGGGGGGGCCGATTGCCTCGACCCCGGTCCTTGGCCGCAACTGTGCTCTGGTCAGCCTGGCTTCCGCCGTGCTGCGGAGGAACTACGCCGCCAGCGCGTCCGACAGCAACCGTTCCACCACGTCCTCGAGCTCCCGACCTGCGAGGCTGCGAGCCCGCTGCCAGCGCTTGGTGCGGTCGCTCCGCTTACGCTGCCGTGCCGCTCGCAGATCTCCTCGGCCATTCTCCTGCGCTCGGCCTCTGCCTGGTCGGCCGTCAGCCCGATGGATAGGCCCGCCATGCTTGTTGACAAGAACGCTGTCGAGATGTAGATCATCCGACGATGATGCTGATTATGCTGATGATGGTGATGATGATGATGATACTGATGATGATGATGGTCGTGATGATGATGATGATTCTGATGATTCTGATGATGATGACAAGCTGATGATGATGCTGATGATGATGATGATGCTGAAGCTGATGCTGATGATGATGCTGATGCTGATGTTGATGACGATGATGATAAGGATGATGATAATGATGATGATGACGAGGGTGCGGAAGGTGGTGATTATGATGATGATGCTGATGATTGATGATCGATGATTGATGATGATGGTGATTATGCTGCTGCTGCTGCTGCTGATGATGATGATGATGATGATGATTATGCTGATGATGATGAGCATCATCATCATCATCATCATCATCATCATCATCATCATCATCATCATCATCATCATCATCATGCTGATGATAATGATGATGACGACGATAATGCTGGCAATGGTGATGGTGATGGCGGTGGTGCTGCTGCTGATGATGATGACGATTTTGGCGATGACGATGCTCGGGACTAACATACCTGCATGCACTCCCGACGAAGAACATCCAATGTCAACCGATGAGACCGGCAATAGCTGCAAGCGTGATAATTTTCCCCTTGCTTCGTCCGCGACACAGGTCACCATCCCTACATCTCTGGCACCCTAGCACCATCACGCACATGTCTGCCCGCGCACCTAAACGAGCTCCCTGTTTAGCTCGCAGCACGGTGCTCCCAGCCGATGCTCCATCGGCCGTAGCAGATATGTGGCAGCGCTCGCCTATGGATGACAAGTGACAATGTGTCTCGGGGGGGCTCTGAAACGGTGTGTGAGCGTTGATGTTATGAGAACGAGGGCGACCACAAATCTGGACTTTACTCGGAATGGAATCGAATCCCATGCACCTGTTGAGCGCAAACAGGCAAACCACAACACAGCAAATTAGGTCTGCATCCCCAATCTCGGCCCAATTCGATACGACTCGCATAACTGACAAGAAAGGAACGCCGGCTGGCCAGAAAACAAGACCAACACAGACATCGAACTCATGACTTAAGCCTGGCCTCCGTGACCTCGAATTCTCAGACCTCTGCACGACCTCTGGAGGGTGTCTTCAAGAAGGGCCTCCGTGTCCAAGACCCCTGCCACAACCTCCCCCCCCCAACAGATCTTAGATGTCTCCTCCGTCCACCCTCTTTTTCCTCCTCCTTCCACTCTGGGGCCAGTGTCCGCTCGAGGTGCTTGGATGCAATCCCAACTGCGGCAACCTCTTGTGCGCTGCACCAGGACGCTGTGTGGAGCTACTCACGTCGGCAAACCGAGGCTTCGCTGGCGAACTGGCGCGGCAGTGCGAAGCCCGCGGAAGACGACTCGATTCCAAGAAACTCCCGCGAGTCGCGGCGGCGGCCCGCCTTCGGGCCCACCGTTGCTCTGCGACGGGCCGGGCCGGCATAGAAGAAAAACACACACAACCATAAGCTCTTGGCGCTCCGCGCGGGTTTCCTGGATCCGCGCCGGACCCCCCCCCTCTGGCGCGCGGAGCGCGCCAGGGGCGGCGCCGGAGGCGCCGCCAGGGGGGCCCAGCGCGGATCCAAGAAATCCGCGCGGAGCGCCCAAAGCTTCTGTCCATGCTTACCAGCCTCGAACGTATCCCTATCCCTAAGATTGACACGCCAAAAGGCGATGACAATCTTAGGGATTCGCCCTCAAAAAAGAAGGGAATCCCTAAGATTGGCATCGTGATGAGGAGGTGCCCAGCATGGGGATAGGGATATGTTCCAGGCTGGTAACATGCGGTTCTGTTCTTCTTCGACGGCGGCTGTGTCGGTCGCCCGCGCGGGTGCTCTCGCGCGAGTCGCGGCGGCGGCCCGCCTGCGGGCCAACAGCTGCTCTGTGACGGGCCAAGGCGGCAGGCTTTTCAGTCGGGCCTGACAGGGGGCTGTCGGGCGGAAAGTGAAGGGAATAGTTGGAACATGCGCCCAAAGGGCTCAAACATGCTCTAAACATCGTCCCCAAACTATGTTTTTTTTTGTTGTGTGACTATGTTTGGGTATTCCTCCTGTGGAGGGACAGGCCCGGCTTCACGGCAGCTGTGCCGGTCGCCCGCGCGGGTGCTCGCGAGCAGCCGGGCGCGCGGCAGCCCGTGCTGGGGCCGTGGCGCACCTGCTGCTGCGCGGGCGGCGGGGCCACGAGGAGGCTCGCGGCCAGAGAGGGGCCGCGCGGGGAGAGGGCGCGGGAGAGGCGGCCCCTGCGGTGCGGGCAGCATGATTGGGCGCCCGAGTTATCCGGGGTAACTCGGGTCCGGGGTAACTCGGGCTTGGATTCCCGAAAAACGAACCCGAGTTAGCCCTGACCCGAGTTACCCCTGATGACTTTGGGACTCTGGACGCCCGAATTCTCCGGGGTAAGCCTGGTCCGGGATAAGTCGGGTTCGGAATCCCGAGAAACGAACCCGAGTCAGCCCTGACCCAAGTTACCCCTGACGATTCGGGGCTCTGACACGAGTCCGATCTGCATCCGCAGCGGTGAGGCCTGTCTGGCGTCCACAGGCCTCTCCAGCCACAACATAGCACGAAGGAGGCCGCCTCCAGAAGTGACCCACTGGGCGGCATAGCTCGCCGCGGTCCCAGAGCGAGGGGTCCGCCGAGCCCGAGCGCGGCCGGCGAGCTGGCCTCAAGTCGGGCGTGTCCCCTCCACAGGGGGATGTTGGGCGAAGCCTACCGCCGTCATGTGCATGATGCTCGTGGCCCGCCGCCATGGTACTCCAGATTTCGTAATAAAGGGAGGGGGGTCTCATTTCGGGGGGGGGGGTCTCTTCCAGGCTATCTTGGAGGGCCTGGGGGGTCTGGGGACGATGTTTTGGAGGGTTCTCCCACGGGGGAGGTCTGAAATGGCTTGTCTTGGAGGGTCCAGACCCCCTCCCTTTTATTACGAAATCTGGAGTAACCGTTGCAGCTGCCATTCATTGCCCCCGCATTCGTGACGCGAGCTGCTGGCGGACTGCGCAATCGAGGAGGCCGTCAACGTGCAGCCCTCCCCGTGGACGCAGCGGAGCACCACGAGGCCGAGCCGGTGCGGGTCACGACGCTGCTCGAGCAACCAGAGAACGCAGCCCCAACAGTGGCTGACGCCGACCGAGACGGTTGCCCCCGCGCCGCCGGCAGAAGCAGGCGGAGGGCGCCAGTCGGCCCGCGAGTCCCGCCGCCCCCGCGGCCCGCGCACGCAGCGAGTGGTGGCTGCCCTGACCGAGCCCCAGGCTGGCAGGGCCTGCTTCGACCCCCGGCGGACCTCGCAGGAGGTGGTCGATTGACGGCCTGACCAGGGGCTCCCAACTCCGCGCTGCGCGCTGCGCGCGAAGCGCGACGTGCGAAAAGCTTCGCGCTCTCGCGCCGCCTCCCAGGGGAGAAGGAGAGGACGAGGAGGAGTCGGAGCCGACCCGCGAAGCGCGACGAACTTCGCGCCCTCGAGGGCGCCCTTGCGGACTCCGCACCGCCGACCCCTCTTTGGGCCGCGCTGCGGGGCCGCGCCCTCCCGTCGGGTGGGGGCGCGGACCAGGACGCGCCGTCCCCGGCAGACCGTGCCGCGGCCGATCTGGGCGGGGTCACCGCCACGCGGCGCCCGGGGGCCTCGCGCGGCGCGCTTGCCCTGCGAGTGGCGTGCCCCGTTCGTCGACCACCACTGCGAGCAGTTGCCGCTGCAATGCGGGCGTCTACTTGCCCCATCCTCCGTGTCCTTCCTCCTCCTTCTGCTCCCGAGCCTCTCTCACGGGCCGCACTTCCCTCCGTGACCTGTGACAACCCTTCTCGCCACGACCAAACCATTTCAGAGCCCCCAGTCCGGCTCGACTAATGCAATCCCAGGTGAGCAGAAAGACAGGAGGGGAATGGAAAAGAGCAGATGAGGTCGACACTTCAAAGATGGAGCCTTGAGACATGGAGCCCTGGGGAAACCAGGCTCTGCACAATGCAGCTAAACCTGTAAGCCATGTCCTCATCGTCCTCGGGGCGCCAGCCTCCCGGACCCCACCCTTGAACCCCCGAGGAGGGGAGGAGACGCAGGAGACGAGAACTCATTGCTGCATGCAACGCTCGAGCGTCGAATTCGCCTGGAAAATGCGCTCACGCACCACCGCCTGCACCTTTGGACGCCCGAAATGGGTACGGACAAAAATGGGTACAGTGCCCGGCAACAAATCTTGTCCCAAACCACCAGCGGCCGCTGTTGGGCAGGCGGCCTTCTGTCTCAAGTGGACACAGCCCGCGGCGGCGCGGACAGCGAGCCCTGTTCCAGATGGACAGGAACTACTGTTGGGCATCGTACCCATTCTCTCTGTACAGTCAAAAACCCGAATAAGGACGCGCGGTAAGGACGCAAGACCCTTGGGAGCCGAAGTTGGGCTTCTTGGGGCGCCGGACGACGAACACCTCAAGGACGCAAGAGCAAGGAAGAGCAAGGACGCAAGGGTACCCTGAGCAAAGTCGCGCGTCCTTATTCGGGTTTTTGACTGTACCCTTCGGCGGCAACTCATGGGAGCCTCCCATACCATCTTGTCGGCTCTTGCGAATCGACGCTAATCGACTCTAGTCGACGCAAATCGACGCTAAATCGACGCTAACCAACGCTAACTGACGCTAAATCGGCATTCTCTCATCGACCCCCAGACGCTAATCGACGCTAACCGACGCTAAAGACGGAATTGAAAGGGTACACCAGGCTCCCATGACTTGCTACCGAAGTACCCATTTCGTTCGTGCCGATGCACCACTGCCAGCTCGGCCACCCAGTCGCCCTGCGCCGGCGCCCGCGCGGGGGCCGCGCGGCCGCCGCCGCCGCCGCCGCCGCGGCCGCCGCCGCCGCGCCGCGGCGCGCGGAGCGAGAGCAGCCCCTGCTGCTCGAGGGCGAGGAGGGCCTCCCGCACCTCCTCCTCGTCGGGGGGCGAGCGAAGGACGAGGAGGAAAACAGGGGGACACAAAAGTGACAATAAACATAATGGGCGAGCAACGACATATGTACATGTACGCCCTCCGCGGTCTTGCCTGCACGAGCGTCCGCGTTGACACGCACTCCAGGGGAAACTAACCGCGTACGTGTACATACGTTGCTGGCCTCTGACATAAGATAGGGAGGAGGAAAGTAGGGGAGCAAACAGTGTCCTAAAGAGAAAAACTCAGAGGTCCGCGCGGAGTTCTCGGATCGGCGCTGGGGCCCCCTCCCTGGCGCGCGGAGCGCGCCAGGGGCGGCGCCGGAGGCGCCGCGGGGGGGCCCCAGCGCCGATCCGAGAACTCCGCGCGGACCTCCGAGTTGTTGTGTAGGCCCTCGGAAGGCTCGGAAGTCGCCCGGCCTCCTGCGAAGTTCTCTGAGAGACTTCCCCGAAAGCACTGAACCCTTCTCAGGAGGTGCGGGTGCGGCTGAGAAGTCCCGCCGCCTTCTGAGAAGGCCTTCTGCTTCGCATGTCCCCCCCTCGCTCGCGAGGGGCAACGATAGGGGGGGGTAGGCATATGCGGGGGATGACTCAACCTGGAATCGGTGATACATCGCCGAGAGATCGGCGATAGGCCCCCGATGGTGAATCCGAACCTTCCCAGGCGGGGTGAGGCTATCGGGCCTCTATCGGCGATCAGTTGGGGATTGGGGGTCGATGCATCCCCCCCAATGCCAATTCCCCCCTTATCTGGGTAGTCGAAGCCAATCTGGCGGGCCCAATCTGGCAAGCGGTGGCAATCTGGCAAGGGAGCCAACGCGAATCCAGCCTGGCGAACAACAAACCCCCCAACCTGGTCAGGCCAGCCTGACCCCAGGAGCCCAATCCAGTCTGCCAGTCTGGCCTTCGACTACCCGGCTTGTCGTTGCCCCAGAGCTCGCCGCCGATCCTTCGCCAGGTCCAGCGGCTGGTGCAGCCGCTGGCTGAGGGCCTTGTAGCGCTGGCAGACCTCGGCGACGCGCACCGCCTCGCTCTTCGCGCCGGTCAGGGCGAGGAGAAGGACCTGCCATCAAGTCGGGCGTGCCCCCCTACGGGGGGATTGTGGGCGAAAAATCAAGAATACGCAACAAATACCCCCCCGAAGACTCAAACATAGTCCAACGAATCGTCCCCAGACTATTGTTTGACTGTCTTTGGATATTCCCCCCTGTAGAGGGGCACGCCCGACTGAAACCTGTCACCAAGCGCCCTCGCCCCCCGCACGGATCGGAAGCCGGGCAAAAGCTGCTAAATCCGTGGCTGCCAAAATCGACCTCGGGGAAGTTGTCTTCGTCCTTCTGGGAAGAAACCCGTCGACTGTTTCGCGTGCCGCGCCTCCTTCCGGGAAGTTGTTTTTTCCCTCTGGGAGGGCCTTTTTAGCAGCCACCGTTTTAGCAGCCCTCGCCCAGCTTCCGAACGGAAAGCATCACTGAAGGGGCCCCAGGACACACAAATAAATACACACACATAAAAGGATTCCCCATATTTTCCTGTATTTTCTGGGGTTTTGTCTTCCACCCAACTTCCCATATTTTCCACATTTTCCTGGGGGTCGACGATTAATTGTGTCTGTGTGTTCTTTCCCTCCTGAGTTTTAGCAGCCACGGTTCTAGCAGCCCTTGCTCAACTTCCGCACGGAAAGCATCACGCGTGAGCTGGCGGGCTCCTGGAGGCTGCAGGTTCTCCCGAGACACCCCCCCGCGGGAGCAGTGCCGCACCAGCACGCCCCCGCAGCAGCAGTGCCGCACCATCCTGGAAGGCCCAGTGCTGCCATCCCCCTTCCTCCTCCTCCGCCGCCTCCTTCTCCTCCTTCTCCTCCCTCCTCCTCCCTCCCTCCCTCCCTCCCTTCCTCCCTCCCTTCCTCCCTCCTCCTCCTCCTCCTCCTCCTCCTCCTCCTCCCTCCCTTGCTTCCTTCCTTCCTTCCTTCCTTCCTCCCTCCTCCTCCTCCTCCTCCTCCTCCTCCTCATCATCATCCTCCTCCTCATCCTCCGGTGGAGTTCCGTCGGCGGCGGCGGCAAGGGCGAAGAGCCCAGGGGCGGGCATCACACGCGTTCGCCGGGGAGCCTTGTCGAAGATACAGATCATCGGCACTCCTGGACACATGTAATGTTAAGTCTGGCCTGTCCCCCTACAGGGGGATTTTGAACGAACAACGAAAAATACATAAAACATACCCCCAACATACTCAAACATGGTAACAAAAGTAGTCCCTAGACTATTTTTTCACTATTTTTCAATATTCCCCCTGTAGAGGGACAGGCGCGACTTAAATGTAATGCCCCCCCCCTGGGCTATTCGCCCCTATCGTCGCCTCTGGTTCTGGACGGCCTCTGGGCCTCCCTCGAACCAACGCATCCTGGCGGTATCCAGAGGATGCCCCCCCCCCCCGCCCAAATGGTCCTCCCTCCTCCTCCTCCTCCTCCCCCCCCTCCTCCCTCCTCCCTCCTCCTCCTCCCCTCCTCCTCCTCCTCCTCCTCCTTCTCCTCCTCCTCCTCCCTCCTCCTCCTCCTCCTCCTCCTCCTCCTCCTCCTCCTCCTCCTCCTCCTCCTCCTCTTCGTCCTCCTCCTCCCAGAGCGGCCAAGGCAGGCCCAGGGCTGCCCAAGATTCTGGCAGAGGGGCCCCAGACCCCTCCGACCGCCCAGATATGTCCTCACTGACGGCTGCAATGCCTCCTGCAGAGATGGCTCAAACACGCCGAGCAGAGTTCCAAGAGCCAATATAATAGATTGAGCAGGGACTGACCGTCCTGGCATTCCTATAGTCCTACCACGAAATGTTCTTAGAACCCACAAATGTTCTAAGAACATGTTGTGGACACCACAAAAGGTTCTTAGAACATTGTGTGGTAGGGCTATAGGCGAGCCAGGACGCTTCGCCACTGCTTGATACGAAGCGCACCAGCAATGCAGCGCTGCAGAGTTGCTGCGCTGGTTCCCCAAGTGCGGCGACGGACATACGCGGCAGCAGAGCCAATCCCATAGCACGTGTGGACTACGGTGGATGGTGGTGATGGCAGTGGGCTTTCTTGGCCTCTGGCTACATCTGCCTGCTCCGAAAGCTCGGGGAGCAAGTCTGGTCTAATTCGCAAGACGTTTGAGCAACTGGCCAGGACTGCTAGGTTCGGAGGCGGCTGGGGGGTCTGCCCTGGATGGCCACCAGCGAATCCGATCCGCAGGGGAAAAGGTGGCCGGCCGAGGGAGGACAATGAGCAACACCCGTGCACAACGTTGCACCCCCCCTCTCGAACGGTTTGAACCAATGATGCCCCACCTCGGCCCCCCCAGCCCGCTCCGAGTCTGGGCGCCTCATCCCGGGCCGTGGGTGCACTTCGGAGGCCCAGCGGACCTGCTGCTCCAGCGGCAGGAACTCGACGCTCGCCAGGGGGTCGCGCTTTGTCGGCGCAGGCCCTGACCCACGGATTGCTGTAAGCTTGCCAGCCGCTGAGGAGCACGCCTCACCTGGGAGCATAGCACATCTCCTCCTCCTCCTCCTCGCCCCTCCTCCTCCTCCTCCTACTCCTCCTCCTCCTCCTCCTCCTCCTGCGTCTGCGCCCCTTCCCGCAAGGGCCCCGGCCGAAGTTCTCTTGTGGTTTGCGGGCCAACGGCCCTGCACCAGAAACACGTCGAGCAACACGCGTCGGACTTGGACACGTGAAAATACGTGTGCGGAGAGGGGGGGGCCTCCATCACGAGTCTCGGCACGCGTGCGTTCGGGGTACATGTTGACCCGCGTTTCGGGCCACGGCGGGGCCGCAGGCGAGCGGCCCGACTTGCGGGCTGCGACCTCTTCACACATAACAATGAAGTGCGCGGGGGAGGGAGGCGGAGGAGGAGGAGGAGGAGGAGGAGGAGGAGGAGGAGGAGGAGGAGGAGGGGGAGGAGGGGGAGGAGGAGGAGGAGCAGGAGGAAGAGGAGAAGGAGTTGGGGGAGGAGGAGGAGAAGGAGGGAGGAGGAAGAGGAGGAGGAGGAGTAGGAGGAGGAGGGGCAGGTGCTTCCACGTGTCTACGGGGCTCCCAGGGGGACCCAACTTTGGGGGTGGCGAGCTCTGCGCCTGTAAAAAATGCATGCGCGCAGGGGGGGGTGGGGCAGCGGAGGGGGGGCCCAGCGTGCGCCTGAAGGCGTGCGGGCGGGGCATGTGCCCTCGCGTGCTTTGGGGCCTCGACGGGGCCGCAGGGGAGGCACCCGACCTGCCGGTTCCGAATTGCGCACACGTAGATGATACCAGAGAAAAGCTCCGATCATAACCTTTTTGGGGCTACAGGGCTATGGGGGCTATCGGGCTGTAGGAGTAGAAGGCTCTGGGCTATATAGGGCTATAGGACTATCAGGCTATAAGGCTATAGGGCTATAGGGCTATAGGGCGATAGGGCTATAGGGCATAGGGCTATGAGGGCTATTGGGCAATAGGGTTACAGGGCTATAGGGCTGTACGACTATGAGGCTATAAGGCTATAAGGCTATAGGGCTATAGGGTTACCGGGCACCCGGGCACCCGGGCGTGCCGCCGAAATCGGCGCCAAACCTTACCTAACCATGTGAATCCGCCAGGACCCCATACAGAGGCAAACTCTGATTGGGGACAAACGCGTGCGCGGAAGGGGGGGGGGGCGAGAGGCCCCTGGCGAATATGCGCTGTCCGCGGGGCTCGCTCCAGTGGGACCCAACTTGGGGGTAGCGAGCTCCTGTCGGGTCGGGCGAAAGGGGGGGACAGCAAAGGGGGGGTTGAGAATCAGCTCACGTAGCTGATTTCCCCGGCGCCTCCCGGCGCCGGAGGCGGCTATGTATCGAGGAATGGGCCCCTCGGTGAGGCCGAAACCGGCTGCATGCAGCAGATTTCGTAACCCGCCCTTTCCCAATCCCCCCCTTTCGCCCGGCCCGATCCTTGCGGCGGGGGGTGGGGGGGCGACGGACGGATGTGGGGGGGGAGGGGGCCAGCATGCGCCTGGCGCGTGCGCGCGGTGCCCGCGTTTTCGCGTGCCTCGGGCCACGGCGGGGCCGCAGGCGAGGGGCCCGCCGCACAGGTGCCGAACTTCTCGTGCGTAAACAAATACGTGCGCGGAGGGGGGGGGGGGGCAACATGCCCCTGGCGCGTGCGCGCAGGTGCTTCCACGCACCCAGGGGGCCCCAAGGCGACCCAGCTTGGGGGGTGGCGAGTTCCTTGACATAACATTGCGTGTGCGGCGTGGGAGGGGCAACGGAGGGGGGGAGGGGGGAGGCCCAACATGCGCCTGGCGCGTGCGCGCGGGGCGCGCGTTTTCGCGTGCCTCGGGCCACGGCGGGGCCGCAGGCGAGGGACACAGCTTGAGCGTGCCGAGGATGTTGCCCGCCAGACATCCGTGCGTGGAGAAGGGGGGGCCCAAGATGCGCCCGGCGCGGGCGCGCGGGGCATGTGCTTTCACGTGTCCACGGGGCCCCCTGGGGGACCCAACTTGGGTTAATGTAGCAGTACACGTCGGTCGGAAGAAGTAGGTAGAAGCGTGAAGTAGGAGGGCGGATACAGTGGACTGGGTCCAGGCCCTCCCAGAGAATAACAGCACAACACAGCAGAAACATGCCGATTCTTGAGGCAGGAAGGCACTTGACGTAGAATGGGATCTGGGAATCCACAAATACAGTGGAGGCCAGTCCACAAGAAACCTTCCTCAAGAAACCCAACCCTGAGACCCCAGGACGTCCATTGATTTTTGGTGTGGGACCGTCGCGCTCTCCATGGCAAAATCATCGAAACCCAGGAAACCCAGACCACACTGGAGGCAAGCAGGGTGTTTCTTGGCATGGGTCTCCACTGTACCTACTTGCAACGACCGGCGTGCACGTGCGCGGACCAGGCGCCTGGCGCGTGCGCGCGGGGCTCGCTCGTGTCTCCGCGCGCCTCGAGCCCGCGCGTGGCCGCAGGTCGGGAGGCCCAGCGCGGGGGGCGAAGAAGATGCGCTCGTGGGAGGAGGAGGAGGAGGAGGAGGAGGAGGAGGAGGCGGAGGCGGAGGAGGAGGAGGAGGAGGAGGAGGAGGAGGAGGAGGAGGAGGAGGAGGGTGGGAGGATGAGGATGAGGATGAGGAGGAGGAGGCGCTCGTGGGAGCTTCGTGCGCTCGTGCGGAGGGGCGGGGGCCAACAGGAGCCTACCAGATGGCAGGCGCCGCCGCGCAGGAAGGGGGACGAGGCAGGAAGATGGTGGTGATGATGATGCTGCTGCTGATGATCATGATGATGATGATGACGATGACGATGACGATGACGATGATGATGATGCTGCTGCTGATGATGATGATGATGACGATGACGATGACGATGATGATGATGCTGCTGATGATGATGATGATGGTGATGATGGTGATGATGGTGATGCTGATGGTGATGGTGATGATGATGATAATGATAATGATAATGATGATGATGATGATGACGATGATGATGATGATGATGATGATGCTGATGATGATGCTGATGCTGATGATGATGATGCTGATGATGATTATGATGATGATGATGATGATGATGGTGATGATGATGAAGATGGGGATGGGAAGATTATGATGATGAGGATGGGCAAAGAGAAAGGAGGAATAAGGAGGATGAGGAAGGAGGAGGAGAAAGAGAAAAAGAAGGAGAAGGATGAGGAGGAGGAAGAGGAGCAGGCAAGAAAGGAGGAGGAGGAGGAGGAGGAGGAGGAGGAGGAGAGGAGGAGGGGAGGGGGAGGGGAGCAGGAGGGGGAGGAGGAGGGGGAGGAGGAGGAGGAGGAGGAGGAGGAGGAGGAGGAGGAGGAGGAGGAGGAGGAGGAGCAGGAGAAGCAGGAGGAGGAGGAGCAGGAGCAGGAGCAGAAGGAGTAGGAGGTGCAGGAGGAGCAGGAGGATACGCAGAACGTGCAGGCGGTATCGGCTGCTGACAAGAACATTGAAAGTCTCGCACGCGCGTCACAAGAAACTTTGACGCCAGTTCCTTGATACGTTTGTGGATCCCTCAAGTTATTTGGAGTGAGCGCGAACACAGAGCTACACCTGACTCGGCCTCGATCGCTCTGCAAGTTAAAGAGTCGCCATGCACATCGGGAACACTCCACGAGCCGACCTGCGATAGGCAAAGTCGTGCACTGAATCGTTGCCTGAGCAAGAAACGAGCGTGCCGCATGCGTGAAAAGATCAAGCGAAGATAAACGAGAGCCACAATCTGACACACACACACACGCCAAATCGACGCGGGGATCGAACTAGGACGTAGACTAAGCTCGGTCCACGAGCGCACGCCATCACGCGAGCACCGGCCTTGCTGTGCAGAACCACCGTTTTCATCAACATGCGACACCTGGGGACGGGGTGCACCAGACCGACGAAATCACACACACGCACTAACTCGAGGGATGAGGACAAAGAAACACACTGGGTAGTGCACAATGCAAGCCGACACCCAAACCAAGGCCGTGAGTGACCGTGACACCCGAGGAACACGGGTGAAGCAGAAGGAGTGCTCAAACAACACACGTGGCGGCACAACACGTGCGAGGGGCGCGCCGAAATCGGCGCGGTGCCGCCATTCGGACACCCTCAGACTGAGGCCGTATGTGACATTCCCCATTGAGCACGGTCAGTGCGAGGGTGTGTCGAAGTAGGCGCGGCTCCGCCATACGGCCGCCCTCAGAGGAGCCGTCTGTGGAGCTCCCCATTCTGCACGACACGAGCTGCGTGGTGCGCGGAGTCCGGCGCGGCGCCCACCGAGGCCGCGGGCGGAGCCCGCTGACGGAGCAGGAAGCGTGCGGCGGGTGTGCCGGAATCAGCACGGTGCCGTCACGCGGACGCACTCACCGGGGCCGTACAGTCGGGGTGTTGACCTAAGGAACCCTAAATAAGGGACGGGGCCCCTTTTTCCCATGATTTCAGCCTTGATGTCCTATGGAAAACCTCCGGAAAAGCCGAGGCAAACTCTGAAACAATCAAGGAGCACCGAGCCCCTCCCCAGCGAAAAGGGTTCCTTCTGCAGCGCCCCGACTGTAGGTGGAGCTCCCCATGGAGCAAGAAGCGTCGGCGGGTGTACCGATGCAAACGAGGCGCTCCCCTTGCAGGTCACGCCCGCCGCCGAGGCTGCATGTGCGCCAGAGTGGGCGGGGGGCGACGCCATGCGGACGCCCTTGCCTGGGGCATTGGCAGGGCTCCCTAGGGGTCACGACCCGTCTGTAGAGGAGGAGGAGGAGGAGGAGGAGGAGGAGGAGGAGGAGGAGGAGGAGGAGGAGGAGCAGAGCAGAGCAGAGCAGAGCAGAGCAGAGCAGAGCAGAGCAGAGCAGAGCAGAGCAGAGCAGAGCAGAGCAGCACCAGTGATCCGAAGAATCCGAACGCCCCAAGACTGCGGCACCCTGCAGAGCCCGAGGAAAACAAAAAGCGGATCAGGTGTTCGACGAATCGTGTGAGAGGTGCGCCGGAACGAGCGCGCCACCGCCATGCGGGCGCCCTTTCTGAGGCCGTGGGTGGAGGCCCCCATGGGGCACGGAACCAAAAAGTGAGCATGCAGAAGTGGGCGGGGCGGCACCATGCGGATGCCCTCGCTGGGGAACTACATGGAGCTCCACATGGGGCTCGATGTGTGTGAAGAGTGCCCCGCATTGGGCGGGGCAACGCGACGCGAACGCCCTCACTGGGGCCGTAGGTGGAGCTCCCTCTGGGGAGCGCTAGTGCGTGTGAGGGGTGCGCTGATTTGGGAGCGGCGCCGCCAAGGTCGAGCTCCCCAGGAGCCGCGATCCGCGTGAGGCTGTGCCGAATGGGAGGCGGCGCCGCCGTGTGGGGTGCGATCCATCTGCAGGGTGTGCCTACACGGGCACGCAACAGGGGAGAGGCACAGACGGAAAGGAGGTGCGGGGCCCATGCAGGAATCCATCGCCGCCCGCGCGCGGACGGAAGGGAGGGACGAGGCCGGGGAAGAGGAAGAGGGAGGGAGGTGGAGCGTGGAGCTGCGGATTCACAACAAGGACCCAGCAACAGAGGAGGGCGGGGAACAAACATCTGGAACGGCACGGGCGCCCCCCACCTGTGGTCTGCGCTTGGAACTGGTGACAGGGTCGGATCGGACTGGACACCCGCAGGGGCCACAGCGTCCAGAACCTCGCAGCCACTGTGCCCTCGGCAGTCGGGGGAGGGCGCCCAAGGCCAGGCTGCCAATGGGCCGCAGCGACCCGACGAGGCCTCCCTGCAGGGGCCATCCGAGGCTCCCCCGAGAGGCCCGGCACTCGCACCATGGCATCTGCCAGCGAGGAGAGGGAGAAGAGGACGGTGACGAGGACGACAACGATGAGGAGGGGGAGGCGAGGAGGAGGAGGCGGAGGAGGAGGTGAAGGGAGGAGGGGAAGGGGAGGATGAGGAGGAGAAGCGATGCTGAGCGGGGAGAAGGAGGAATATGATGAGGGTGATGATGATGATGCTGCTGCTGCTGATGATGACGACGACGATGATGATGATGCTGATGATGATGATGATGATGATGAGGAGGAGGAACATGATGTTGATGATGACGCTGATGCTGATGATGCTGCTGCTGATGATGATAGAGATTATGCTTCTGATGATGATGCTGGTGCTGCTGCTGCTGCTGATGATGGCGATAACGATAAGGCTGATGCTGCTGATGATGCTGCTGATGATGATGCTGATGCTGATGCTGATGCTGATGCTGATGATGATGATGATGATGCTGATGGTGATGATGCTGATGACGATGATAATGCTGATGCTGCTGCTGATGATGATGATGACGATGATCATGATGATACTGATGATGCTGTTGATGCTGCTGATGCTGATGCTGATGCTGCTGCTGCTGCTGCTGCTGCTGCTGATGATGATGATGATGATGATGATGATGATGATGATGATGATGATGATGATGGTGAGGAGGAGGAGGAGGAGGAGGAGGAGGAGGAGGAGGAGGAGGAGGAGGAGGAGGAGGAGGAGGAGGGAGGGAGGGAGGGAGGGAGGGAGGGAGGAGGGAGAGGAGGAGGAGGGAGGGAGGGAGGGAGGGAGGGAGGGAGGGAGGGAGGGAGGCAGGGAGGGAGCGACGGAGGGGAGGAGCGGCTCTGTCGTGCGACTTCGTCCCCGGGTCGCCGCCCTCGGAGGCCGCCGCGGCCTCCTCTCGAGCGGCCTGCTGCTCCAGGACGGCGCTCTCGCAGACGTGCATGACCTGCCGGGGCTCTTCCGCCGTCGCCCCCCCCGGCGCCCCCGCTCGAAGCTCTGCCCCCCACTAAGGGGGCCACACGCGAGCCCTACCCACCCCTCCCCGACGAGTTCTGAGGGTGAGGCTGGGGGTTCGCTCCCGCTCGGGAGCCCACGAGCGGAGGGAACCCCCCCCCCCCTCAGAAATCGTGGGGGGTAGGGGCAGGGTTCGCACGTGGCCCCCTGTCGAAGCCCTGCCCCCCCCCCCCGTCGCCCCGGGAAGCGCGACGCAGCCCCCTGCGGGGCCCAGGATGGCCCCCCACAGGCCCTCCAGCAGGGCCCCAGGGAGGCAGGGCACGCCGAGACGCGCGTCGTATCGCACTCACCCCTCCCCCTTCCGATCGGTAAGCGCCGTCGCGGCCGCATCAGGGGTCGATCTGCGCGCGAGCGCGCGCGCGCGCCATTGCGGTCAGACAGACGCACTAGCAGGTTCCAATCGGGAACCGAAAATTGGCCGAATCGGCTTTGCCAAACAAGTTGCCGGCGGGTGGGTGGGGTGTTTGCATGAACATAAGGGTTGAAGACTTCGTAATGGGAATTCGTACTTTCTACTTGCCGCTTACTGCTGCTTACTAATTGATCGTTGTTCAGATTACGACTACCGCTACCTGGAGAAATGCTCGCGGTGAAAGGATCTTGCATGAACTCGAAATCCGCCGACCCTGTCGGCGTGTGGAAGACGCTCTTCCGTTTGTCGCTCAGGGTCGGCGGCACCGACCGTAAGGCCTCTCCAATAATCAGGAGGCTTCCTGCGGGTTCGTAGATGGGGTCGAAGGGTCGCGCCGCATCGCCGGTACATCGCCGAGGTATCGGCGATGCATCGGCGATGCATCGGCGACGTCGGCGATGCATCGGCGACGTCGACGTGAAGCAAACCGAGTTCCACATCGAGCCGCATCGGCGATGTATCGGCGATGCGGCGCAATCCTCTGACCCCATCTACTCCGATCCATCTAGGAGGCCTAGTATTAGGTCGGGCCTGTCCCCCTACCGGGGGGTTCGAGCGAAAACTAAAAAAAAATCAAAGATACTCAAACATAGCAAACAAAATACTCAAAAAAGCGTCCCCAGATGATTTCCCGACCAGCCATGCCTGGGGGAGCTGTGGTCTTTACCCCCCTGGGGGGGACTCATCGCACTGACGATCTCTCGAGGAAGGGGTGTGGAAATCGATGGGCCCCCCAGGGGGGTGAGGACCACATCTCCCCCAGCTGTACAGTCGGGGCGTTGACCCAAGGAACCCAAAACAAGGAACGAGGCCCCTTTCTCCCGTCAGTTGACATTCGACTTCCTGTCGACTACATGAGGAAAGCCTGAGGCAAGCCGTGAAACACTCAGGGAACGCGGAGCCCCTCCCCAACCAAAAGGGTTCCTTCTTCAGGGCCCCCAGCTGTGGCTGGCCCGAAGCCCAGAGCTTCGCGCCGGGAGACGTGGCTCCCCGGGCGCCTGCACCTCGCGTGCCACGCCCTTGTTCGAGCAGGGGGTCGACTACAGTCGGGGCGTTGACCTGAGGAACCCTAAATAAGGAACGAGGCCCCTTTTTCCCATAAGTTAACCTTCGAAACGCGGAGCCCCTCCCCAACCGAAAGGATTCCTTCTTCAGGGCCCCGACTGTACAGAATTGATGTACCCCAGAATTGGCTTCCTCTTCGAATCTGAGAACATCTGCAGAAGTCCCAGCATACTGCTGAACCTTCCAGGTCTCCGCCGTAGCTTCGATGGAGAGTCAATCTTGGGGCAAATCCATTCTGTAGTCGATCCCCTGCTCGCCTTGTGGGCGCCTCCGCGTGCGCCCTTCGCATGCCCGCCCGTCGGGGCGCCCGCTGCTATGGCTGCGAACCCGCAGCCTCTCTGCACCGCACGGCCTCCCCCACGCAGCTTCCACCGGCGAGTTTCGGCACGCCGCGCGTGGTCCGGCGAGGAGGAGGAGGAGGAGGAGGAGGAGGAGGAGGAGGAGGAGGAGGAGGAGGAGGGAGGAGGGGAGAGGGAGGAGGAGGAGGAGGAGGAGGAGGAGGAGGAGGAGGAGGAGGAGGAGGAGGAGGAGGAGGAGGAGGAGGAGGAGGAGGAGGAGGGGGAGGAGGAGAAGGAGGAGAGAGGAGGAGGAGGAGGAGGAGGAGGAGGGGAGGGGATGGGGAGGAGGAGGGGGTGGAGGGAGGGGGTGGAGGAGGAGGAGGAGGGGGAGGGGAGGGGGGGAGGGGGAGGAGGAGGAGGAGGAGGGGGAGGAGGGGGAGGAGGGGAGAGGAGGAGGAGGAGAGGAGGAGCAGAGGAGGAGGAGGAGAGAGGAGGAGGAGGAGGAGGAGGAGGAGGAGGAGGAGGAGGAGGAGGAGGAGGAGGAGGGGAGGAGGGGAGGGGGAGGGGGAGGAGGCGGGTTCACGCAGCCTGCATCCAGTGGCTTCCGACACATGAGTTCCGCCGCACAGATTTTCCGCCGCACAGCTTCCGCCACGCGGCACGCCGCTTTGGGGTCCACGGGTCCATGCTGGCAGTGAGATAATTATTGTTTTCCTCCTCCTCCTTATTATTCGCCTCCTCCTCCACCTCCTCCTTTTTCTTCGCCTCCTCCTCCTCCTCCCTCCTCCACCTACCCCCAGTCCAGACGACATGGGCCCTGGAATCAACAATGGGGTGCTGGAGTTGTGCCCGCGCGTACTTCTTCGGTGGCTCGCGGGGTGGCGCCTACAGCCGAGCTGGGCCTGTTCTCCTTCTGAGTCTAAACGTGCCCTGCTCGTGCGGTACTCGTGCCCATTGGGCCTCACTTACGACGCCGCCACAATTACGCCAACAATGCACAATGGTCCCCGGCACACACATACTATGTCGTAGAAGGCCAGAGCGTTGGGGCGATGTTCTGTGCCACCCTGGCCAATCCCCTTTCGTCCTGGTTCATCCTCGCGCATCTCGCTCCTCCTCCTGCCTCGTCCTTACTCCTCATCCTCCTCCATTGCCCTCGCCTCCTCCTCCCATCTCCTTCCTCCCCCCTGCAGCTTGCCTCCTCCTCTTACCTCCTTCATGTCTTGTTTTGCTTTGTCTCTCTCTCTCTCTCTCTCTCCCGCATCTCCCTCCGCCCGACCTCCTACTCCCCACCTCCCTCCTCCTCCTCCTGCTCCTCCTCCTCCTGCTCCTCCTCCTCTTCCTCCTCCACTTCCTCCTCCTCCTCCTCCTGCTCCTCCTCCCTCTCCCCCTCCACCCGCCTCCTCCACCCGCTGACCCCCCCCTTCTCTCCTCCCCGCCCTTCTTCGGCCATGGGAAGCGGGCGTCCCATCGCCCTCACTCCTTCTTGCCCCGGATGCCCGAGCCTGACGACAGTCTCCGCTGTTCTTCGCCACTTGCCGGAGCTTCACCTCCATCGCCAGCGAGCCGACGCCCAATGCGCCCGCCAGGGGATGCGCGGATGCCGCCGACCCCGCCGCGGGCGCGCCGTGGGCCAGCGGCAGAACCTCGGCGCCGGCGGCCCGGGGAGGCCCGCGGCTTGGCAACACCGACAACCGATCGCGCCACCCGCGCCATCAAGCCGAGCCGAGCCTCACCAGATCGTGCTCGCGGGGGCGGATCGATCTGGGTCGAGCCGAGCAGACGCCCTTCACTAGGGGGCAAACAAACCTACCTCGCTTTTGACCACCCTCGCTTCCAAGAGATACCAAGCGATGCCAAACTGCCTGTACTGGTCAGGCCGCTTGACGAGGAGGCGCGTGGTATGACTTGGTTTTGCCTGGAAGCGAAAGCGGGGTAGGTAATTCACGCTCTGATCAACAGGAGGGCGGAGCGAAGGATAGGATCCTCGATCGGCGGAGCGCATGCCAATCGAACCAGATCGTGGGCCGTCCCCAGGCGACCTCGGCCAGCCGCGACTGTGCGATGCTCCGGAGCTGGCCTGCCTCGTAGGGCTTGAAGAGCAGCGGCTCGCAGAGCCTGGCCAGCTCCGCGTCCTGCGAGAAGAGGCCTACCGCGTTGGCGATCGTCACCAACGCCAGCGCCGGAGCGCCGGGCAGCAGCGGCAGGGAGGCGAGACTACCCAAAGACCTCAGGCCTGCGGCGCGAAGCCGGGCCGTCGTGCCCACTAGCTGGTCCACCTCGTCCACGATGACGACGACCTTGCTCCCCAACTGCCCGAGCGCTGCTGCCGCCTCTGCAGCAGTGCCGCTGCGGGTGTGCCTCCTCACACCCGCTGCCTCCTCGAGGTGCCGAAACAGCCCCGCTGTGGTGCGCTGCTGCAGGTTCATGCAGTTCACCTCGATAATCTGCGTCTCGGGGCTCCTTGGGGAAGCCGAAATGTACCGATGCCGCTACTCCCAGGGCCTCTCACGGGGTGCGCTCTGACTCGAATTTCGTAGCGAATCCAGCGGTGGCGACGAGGGCCTCCCAAGAGGCCGACAAAGGGGAAAACAGGCGAAAAGTAACGACATCGGAAACGAAACGCTAACGTCCCCCCAAATGTAGACCTGCGAGAAGGGCATCAAAATGTAGATCCAGGCTATGGGGCTCAAATGTAGAACCCCACCAAACGGACCCTGAAATGCCGACCCTCCCAAGTTTTAGCACCTTCCTTGAAATGTAGACCCCGACCTGAATGACCTTGAAAGATGGACCGCGCGCGAAAGGCGGAGGTTCTACCTTTGGGGGTGCGCCGGGCAAGTCTGCATTTCAAGGGCCGTATGCTATTTCCCAATCTCCTCGCAGTCTGACTTCCGCGGCGCGATCCCGCGGATACGCGGTCGCACGGATACGCTCCGCGCGGGGCATCCGCGAAAAAATGCCCCGTGTCCGCGGGGTCGCGGCCCAAGGGCCTGGCCTGCGAGGCCTCGGATGCGGACGTGCTCTTGTCGCCCACGATTTTCCTCCTCCGGTTCCTGCTCTGCCGCGCGGCGGCCGCGGCCCGCGCGGAACACGTCTTGCCGGTGCCTGGCCCGCCGCTCACGTACAAGCAACCACCATTGCTGGGGCCACCTGAGCGACGATCCAAAAACGTTCCTGCGAGATGGCACACCGACCGTGCGCGGCGGCTTGCGCGGGCCGACGGCGCGGCCCGCTGCTTTAGAGGAGGAGGCGCCCACGAGCGACCGCAATTGCGCGGGCAACCTGCGCGCGAATGTCGGCGCAGACGACCCCGCTTGCTTGCGTCGCTCACCTGCCAGGCACCTGTCGATGAACGCGTCGAGCTGAGCACATTCGCGCTCACGGGCTATGAGCGGGTACTCCTTGCAGATGGCCGCGTGCGATCCCTGCTCAACCCCCCACGATTTCGGCGGTGGGCGGGAGGTTCACTCCACTCTGGGACTCCCGAGCGAAGTGACCCCCCACCCCTCCTCATGACAAGACCAGCGCGGGCGATAGTAATACCCCGTAGGTAATAAAGTTCGGGGGCCTGGCGGGGATAATCAACGATTTCCGCAGGGAAGGTGATGTTAGTTAGAAGTGATGATAATAATGACGATGATCACGATGATGGTGATCCTGGGTTCTCGGCACAAGATTGACTCGAGAGATCTCGAGGCTCATGCCTACAACTTGCCATCGCAAGAGAGGTCCTTGGGCGTTCTGAGCAACAAACCTCTGTTGCGCTGGACTTCAAGCCGTTCCCCAATTGCCCTGTCGCACGTTCGTGGCTTGGGCAAACTGAACTGGTGAGAATCCCACAGCCCTGCCACACGCTCGTGATTGCGGAATCTGATATGGTGAGACCACCTTGGCCATGCCCGGCGTTTTTGATGCTGTTGCTAGTTAACATGAAATTATAGCAGCTTCGATTCGCAACTTTCCCCGTGGATTTTCAAGTTCGGCCTCCTCGCCCCTCTCCACAATTAAATCCTATTGAACGGGGATTAAAAATATAGGGGGGAAACCTCCCGGACCTCCCCAACCCAGCCCGAAGACCCGAATTTCGGGCTGGGGGGGTGCACGGGTTCCATATGCGTGTTTTGTTCGGAGTGCTCCCCGACCCCCCCCCCGCCCCACCCCAGAAACGCAGGGCAAATGGAAGCCTCCAGGTCAGGTTGGGGTGGTTTGGTGGGCGGCGACCTCAGATTTCAGAAGGGCGTGCCCCCCTAGAAGGGGGATTCTCAAACAGTCGCCCCCAGGCTAATTCTTTGCTATGTTTGAATACTCCAGATTTCGTAATAAAAGGGAGGGGGTCTCATTTCGGGGGGGGTCTCTTCCAGGCTATCTTGGAGGGCCTGGGGGGGTCTGGGGACGATGTTTTGGAGGGTTCTCCCACGGGGGAGGTCTGAAATGGCTTGTCTTGGAGGGTCCAGACCCCCTCCCTTTTATTACGAAATCTGGAGTACTCCTCCTGTGCAGGGACAGGCCCGCCTGAACCTTAGAAATCGTGGGGGGGCGGGAGCAGGTTCGCCCGCGGCCAGCGACCTTGGGGAATGCCTTCGGGCTGGCCTGCGGCGGCTGCTGCCGCCCGGGAGGGGCTCGCCTCGGAGGCTGCTCGGCCTCCACCCGGGACGTGGCCGGCGCGTTCGCGAGGGCGGGCCGGTTCTCCTTCTCGCCAGAGTCAATGCGGCACAGGCGGCGGCGCTTGCGCACAGGCGTCAGTGCGTCTTCCGGCATCCCCAGGTTCACATCATGTGCACACAACGCCATTGCTTTCCACCTGGGCGCGGGAGGGCAGTCCAAGCAGGAGCAACCGGTATGAGGAGTCCAAAAACAGAAGCCGAATGGCTGTGATAGGTCGAATTGCGGCAATCGTGGTCGGGGCACAGAACTTCCAACACTGTGTGGAGCAACTACACCACATCCTCAACCCGCTGACTACTCACATACTAGTACCAACTCTGTGATGCACCTATCGCTCTTCCGCATCACTACCACAAGGCGACCAACGACGATGTCGAACCTGCAACCATTGCAAAACGTGCGGGCACACTGGCACAACTATTCTTGACATTTGTATAACAACTTCCCTGGAACGATCTCGACTTCTCGGCTGTAATTCTTCCTGGCACGCTACTTGGCGGGACGGCTAACAGAACATGGGGCTTGCGACCTTTGTGAGAATCCAGACGAACTCTGACACCTCTTCAATTTCAGGAGGGGTTTGCGGAAATCCATCTGTGCTCGTGTTCGGTTTGCCTTCGCCGGCCCTTATCTTGCGCCACCCGTTGCTTGGCGGCTGCAGCCTGGATGGAACGGATGAATCTACCTGGCGAAAGGGGTGGCAGAGGAGACATGGGGGTACAGAACTGGAAAAGGAGAAGAGGGAAGAACACGCGGGGAGACTCGTTTGGATGACCGAACAGACTTGAAGGGCCAGGCGCTCCACTGACCCGTTACAGCTTGGAGAGGCTTGAAGCAAGCGCCCCAAATCAGGGAACCAAGAATGAAGGAAGCACGGCTCCATGACCTCAACATGCCCTTCGCCCAACCCTACCACTTTCGTACATTCTGGTGGGGGAACACAAAGATACCGATACCGATACTCCCGTGACCTCGTCCCGGGTGCCTTCTTACCAAGATGTCGAAACGAATCCAGCGGTGGCGACGAGGGGAGGGCAATCAGCGGTATTGTCGTTCTTGTTCCCCCCTCTGACACTACACCCCTGGAACCTGACCGAATCGCATTCCTACACCCTAGGCCTCCCAGTCAACTCGAAGTCTGCTCCTCTAACTGTCGGACCATCGGGAAAAAAGGCGCGGCGTCTCTCCGACCATGCTGCATCCACGCCAGCTCCCCGCTGCCCCTTCCCGAGGCGCCTCCCCAGGCGAGGCCGACCGCCGTGCCTGTCGGGGCGCCTCTCTGTCTGTCTGTCTGTCTGTCTGTCTGTCTGTCTCTGTCTGTCTCTGTCTGTCTCTCTGTCTCTGTCTGTCTGTCTGTCTGTCTGTCTGTCTGTCTGTCTGTCTGTCTGTCTGTCTGTCTGTCTGTCTCTCTGTCTGTCTGTCTGTCTGTCTGTCTGTCTGTCTGTCTGTCTGTCTGTCTGTCTCTCTGTCTGTCTCTCTCTCTCTCTCTCTCTGTTTTTCGCCCTTCCCTTCTCCCTTCATCTTTCCCAACACCTACTAAACAAACCGGCTCGGGCCTACCACGCGACCCAGTGGGTTCGGAATCTGCTGGAAACGTGTGGGAAACCAAGGCCCCACAGAAGGCGGAAACCACGGGGGCAACGGGTGAGACGGGTCCTACCCATGGGATTATACCTCTCTCTCTCTCTTTTTCTCTTCTCCCTCTCTCTCTCTCTCTCTCCTCCCTCTTTTTTCTGTCTCTCTCTGTCTCTCTTTTTCTCGTTGACCTCTCTCTCTCTCTCTCTTCCTCGTGTTTTGATATATATATATATATATATATATATATATATATATATATATATATATATATCTCTCTCTCTGTATGTACCTAATTATATGCGCGCTCAAATTCTACTTGCTATGGGGCCAAACGTATAGCGCGTCAGAGGGACTCTGTCCGAATGATCGGGCCCTTGGCTTGGAAACGTACGCCTTGGTGTCTGAAGTCTCCTTAAGGCTTTGTTTTTGGGGCAGTCCTGGGCTATCCTCGGGCAGTATTGTAACTCTCTTCGGGACCATTTGAGCCTCTGAGACCATCTTGGAGCCACGCGTTGGCAACAAATGGGAATTCCAGAAAAGACAGGACCGCACGTTTTGATTCCTGGTTGTGTTTTGACTGATTTGGGTTTGGCCCTGTTGAAGTCCTGTGCGGGCGCGCTGGCGGCCTTTTGGGGCCTCGCTGTGATGGGGGTCTGCTGTGACCCTCGTGGGGCCCTCCTGGAACTTCTGCACAGCTCCGGGGGCCTTCTGGGGGAGCTCGGGGAAGGCTCTAGGGAGGCCCCTGGAGGGGAGGCGCCACCTAAAGGACCCTGGGTGCCCTGTGTGTGCTGCGGGCTGGGGCCGCTGGGGTCGGGCTTCCGGTGTATGAACGGAAGATGGTAGTACCAGGACGGAAGATAGAGGGAGGTGACAGGACAAGTAGAGTGGAGGACTGCGTGAAAAGGCGGAAAATAAATACGGAGGACGGAGCGGGGAAGAGGGACGGTAGAGGGAGGAGGCGGACGTAAAAGAGAGATGGAGGAGATGAGGAGGAGGAGGAGGACGAGGAGGAGGAGGATGGGAAGGTTAGAAGGGCAGGGGCATGGATAGTGAAAATGAGAGGGACGGGGAGGGGCAGGGCTTACCAACCGACGGCGCGCCTGGGTTGTTGGTGTGGAACCTTCGGAATGCCCGTTCCGGTCTTTGGGGAAGCCTCAAGGGAGCATTTAGGATACAGTTCTGAAAACCTCTTGGGGCGCTATTCGGGGCCTCTTTTGGGCCTCGGGGGTCCTCTGGGGAAGGTCCTGTGGGTTCGACTTCCCCCCCCCCCCGGGGCCTGTCTTGGGACCTTCTTGGGGCCGTCTTGGGCGGCCCTGGGTGCCTCTGGGGCCGTCTTGGGGCCCTCTTGGGCGGTCTTGGGGCCCGCTTGAAGGCCTTTTGGACCATCTTTTTTGTTTCTTTGTTTTTCCCCACACACCGACACCTCGACCGCAGGTACAAACAAAAAACTCCTGGCAATGAAATGCGTCCAAGTTTACACGCTTCACGCACTCACTGCTGGCGCCGAAAATCCCTCGACCTTGCTGGCAAACTAATGCTCCCGTCAGCGGCCTGCTGACGTGCAAGGCCATCAACTTGGAGAGGCAGGAGGAGAGTGAATGACAACACATGCTTGCCAGCGTCGCAAGCTATTGCACTGTGAAGGGAGAGTCAAGTGAAATCATCCAAAGTACAGCACTTTGATGGGAAAGCTGGCCCTTCGAGCTCTGTCTCCTTTCCCCTGTGGCAAAAAGACGGACGTGCTCTGTACGCGTCGAGAGATACTCGACCGACACCGACTTCTCTCATCGCACGGATGGAAACAGATGAGCACATGGAAAATACTTCCGGAGCCAAGCTAAGCCGACAACCTACATTGAGGCCACGTGGTCAGCCTGCAATTGTGATGAAGGCTACTGCGAGGCGAGGCGTCGAAAGTAATCCTAGTATTGGATGCGGCATATTCTGTAGGGTAGGCGCCGAGATAAAAGAAAAAACGACTCGTTATAGACATGGAAGTGCAGCGGTCCGTCGTGGACAACGCACCGTACACAGCGCACGGACACTCCCACGTCATTCACTCAAGGCAGTGGTCCAACCTTGCACCGAACAGGCTGAAAACGACCTGAGACCCTGGCTCGCGCCGCGCGCCCCGGACGGCCGCGCGCCGCGCCACGCCCGGCCCTCCTCAGGAGTCGAAATCCAGGGCGTCCTCCGGGCGCCCGGGCTCCGCACACGCGGCGCGCAGCGCCGCTGTGCCCGGCCCGCCGAGCGGGTTTCCGATGAGGCTGAGGTCCCGCAAGCAGCTCGCTCTCATAGGGTCGAGCAGCTCACTGCACTCTGAGGCCTGTAACGTTTTAGGAGCCTCCGATGGAGTCATCCATAGCAGAATTTCTTGTAACATTCAGACCGCAGCGCGCCCGGGGCGCGCAGGGCCTCCGCCAGCCGCGCGGCGCCCTCGTTGCCCACGCGGTTGCAGGAGAGGCCGAAGCTCTGCAGCTGGGGCAGCGCGCCCGGGGCGCGCAGGGCCTCCGCCAGCCGCGCGGCGCCCTCGTCGCCCACGCGGTTGCGGGCCAGTTCCAGCTCCTGCAGCTTGGGGCAGCGCGCCCAGGGCCTCCGCCAGCCGCGCGGCGCCCTCGTCGCCCCGCCCACGGAGTTAAGCTGAGGATGAGCCTCCGCAGCCGGGGCGCGGCGCCCGAGGCGAGCACAGCGGCCAGCTGCTGCGCCTCCTCGTCCCCCCACTCCAACCCGAACTAAACCAGGTCCTCCGCGGCCTCGAAGCGCTGCGCGAAGGCGGAGCGGTAGAGCTTGGCGACCCGGGGTCGGTCGTCCTTGCCGTTGGTAAACCCCTTGCTCTGCAGCTGCACGTCGAAGGCGTCGGGCAGGAGGGGCGCCCGGCGCCCCGCGGTGCAGGTGGACACCAAATCACTGTAGTCTCTCTCCCTTCCGGTGGATCGGCCGAGGTCGAAGAGCATCCCATACGGCTTCGTCAGCATCGCCCAGGAGGACTCGCAGAAGCACCAGCCACGGTTGAAGTACTGCTCCGAGTTGCCCGACCGGGTGTACTTTGCAGCATCGCCGTAATCATCTGGAAACCGCGTCAGCATGAAGACGACAGTGGCGGGGTGGGAGTAGAAGCTCCCCAGGCTCCCCAATGCCTCCTTGAAGAGCGCATGCTCCAGCTCGAAGCGGCCGAGGCGAGGGCATCGTCCTCGAAAGAATCTGAGCCTTCGAGCCGCTGCTAGGTGCGCTGCTGGGGAACGCCCTCGCGGTCCTTACATTTCTGATGGATGCAGCAGAAAACCATGAATACACCCCAGCGGCCACTGAACGCGAATAGCGACGCATCCGAAAGCAGCTGCAGGGCCTCACCCAAGATGCGCAGGTTATGCCCGCGTGGATCCGGGTGGTTCGCCTGCAGCCAGCAGTGTGATACGCAGGCGATGTGCCGCAACATGGTTTCGGAGGCAGGCGTGGCGGCCTTGACGGCGCTGTGGGGCACGAAGGCCGTCGGCGGCAACGCCTGGCGCGGCTCGAGGACGCCGCCAGTGCGCGCTCGCCTCACCATCCACTCCGCGTCCATCAGGACGACCGCTCCACTGCCGAGCACGCGGTCGAGCTCCAGGCCGCCGGCTCTCTCCCACTCTGCCTGCGCATCCGCTGGCACAGGGACCTCCTCCAGCTCCGGCATGTGCGGGGGCAATTGCGGCTCCGCGGCCTGCGACCGGTAGGACGCCATGCAGCAACCCATCTCGATGCTTGCAGAAGGCGGGGTCGCCAGCGACTTCCAAGTTGCAACCAACTGCGGAAGCTTGGGCCAAAATGGCTACGGGGCCTTTTGGGCCGTCTTGGGGCCCTCCTGGGGGCCTCTTGGGCCGTCTGGGACGATGGCAAAATCGAACAAGCCATTGTGCTAGAGATGTGTGCTGTCTTGGGGCGTCTTAGGGGGCCTCTGGGGCCGTCTTGACGCCATCTGGGGACGTTCGGAAGCCACGTTGGCCCGTCTGGGACCCCTTCGGGACCTACCTGAAGCTCTGGGGGGTCCGGGGAGGGTCTGGGAAGGCACCAGGGAGGCCATGCATGGGGGGAAGGGGCACTTAGTATATAGTTGTGGCCCCTGGTGGTCGTCGGCCTGGGAGCTACCAATGCAGGGCTTCCAGCATATGGGAGACTGAACCATCAAACACGCTTCGAGCACGCTCAAGTTCTACTTGCTGTGGAGCTAAGCGTATAGCGCGTCAGAGGCACTCTGTCCGAATGATCGGCCCCTTAATTTGAAAACGTACGCCTTGGTCTCTGAAATCGCCTTGAGGCTTTATTTTCGGAGCAATCCTGGGCAATCCTTGGGCAATCTTGCAACTCTCTTCAAAACTATTTGAGCATGGGAGACCAGCTTGGAGCTATGCGTTGGCAACACATTGGACATCCAGAAAAGACAAAGAAAAACACTGGGATGTGTTTTTGGTGTTTGACTGATTTGGTTTTGACCCTCGTGGAAGTCCCGCCGGAGACCTCTTGAAGCCTGCTCGGATCTCTGGTGAAGCCTCTGGGCGACCTCCTGGAGACAATTTTCGAAACCTCTTGGTGCGCCTCCCTGGGGACCTCTTGTGAGCCTCCTGGGTCCTCTAGGGGAGGGTCCTTGAGGGCCAGCTGGGGGTCTTCGGGGTCCTCTTGGGGCGAAGGCGTCGAAATGTGGGTTCGACTCCAACCCCCCCCCGGAGCCCGTCCCGGGGCCCTCTTGGGGCCGGCTTGGGCGGCCCTCGGTGCCCGTGGGGCCGTCTTGGGAGCCCTCTTGGGCCGTCTCGGGGCCCTCAAGTGGACATCTTTGGGCCGTTTTGGGGCTCTCCTGGAGGCTTTTTTTTAACCCTTCCAGGCAACCTTTGGTTCTGGGCGACATGCATTCTGCAACGGCAAGATGAAGACGTCACGGAAGACCTCTGGGAGGTGGGCCTGTGGGCCGGGCCTGCGCTGATGAAAACAGGAGGAGGTGTCGGGGGAGGCAGAGGGCAAGGGGCGCAGCGCGCAGGTGCCGGAGGAAGGTCTCATCACCTCCGGGAGATGCCCTTTGACTTTCTGGGTGTTTCGCTATGCCGTGCTGCTGTTGTTCCTCTTCTGTTTCGGCGGGCGCGGCATGTACAACGTTTTGCTGCGCGCATGGGAGCAACGAATTTGGTAGAACATTGCGTTGTCCGACGAGAATGAAACGATGTTTGCCGCTTCGGGCCCTCGTGGGGGTCCGCTTGGAGCCGTCTTGGGGCGTCCGGGGGGCCTGGCGGGCCGTCTTGGGGCAACTCTGGGTCGCTCGAAAGCTACGCTGGCCCGTCTGGAACCGACCCGGAAGCTCCAGGAGGGTCCTGGAAACTCCGGGGGGGGGATTCCAGGGAGGCTCGGGGGGGGCGGCATGCGTCGACAATTGTGGCCGGGGCCCCAGGGCGGGGCTTCCGGCACATGAGAGATGAGTGTCTGTGTGCATCGTGACCTGTATCTGCCGCCCGCAGCGTCGGCCCGATCCAACGATCGACGATCCATTTCTCGAGGTACAATCCAACTTACACAACTGCGAACAATATATTCCCTCAACACACCTTGCACCTACTTATCTGCGATAGAGCTGGGCCCTTCTACGGGTCCAACGACCTCGTTCCCGTCCGTCGCCGCCCTTTTCTCCAACAGAAAGCCTGTCTGCGGGCCTGGCGGCCCCGTTCCCGTCCACAGTTTTAACGACATGAATGAAACACGTCAATTGTCCTTTCTTACAGTGTAAGGATCTACCTCCCCCTGACTCAACAGCGCGCCGTTTCGCATTGCAATTTGCAGTTGGCTCTGCCCCATCGCCCACCCTAAATATGAACTCCACTTTTGTATCGCAGTCCGTAAATGTTAATACTCATGTGAAACATATGGGACGAAGCGCAAACACACGCGTCGTCGCGCGCGCATGTCGAAATCTTGTTTCGTAGAAGTTTCATCATAAAATACCCAGTATATATATGGTTGTCCCCACACACTGACATCATACATATCAAGTGGATTCGTCTTCATCATCGCTTTTCTTGTATTCGTATTTACCATATGTATATTCATGGACACGAATGAAAAAAAAGAAAACATGGAGGGAGTAGGTCGGAATAGTTATACGAAAAGTGATCGTCGTAGTCGTACTAGTCGTAGTAGTGGGAGTACTGGTGGAAGTAGTAGTAGTAGTAGTAGTAGTAGTAGTAGTAGCAGTAGTAGTAGTAGTAGTAGTAGTAGTAGTAGTAGTAGTAGTAGTAGTATTAGCAGTAGTAGTCGTAGTAGTAATAGTGATAGTATCATTACAAATCAAAGTCGTCGAAACAATATTAAACAAAGTGGAAACAGGAGTAATCGTGTCGACGCCGTCGTCGTCACAGCAATAGAAGCAGTAGTAGTAGTAGAAGAAGTCGTAGCAGCACTACTAGTAGTAGTAATACTACTAGTAGTCGTACTAGTAGTAGCGGTCGTACTAGTAGTCACCGTGATGGTGGTAGTAGTAGTAGTAGTGGTAGTAGTACTAGTAGTAGTCTTCGAACTAGCACTAATCGTAGTGAACATGATCGTAATCGTCGTAATGTTAAGAAAAGTAGTCTTCGCGGCAATAGAATGCACAGGCCGTGCTAGTAATAGTAATAATAAAGTAATAGTATTAATAGTAGTAGCCGTCGATGTAGTAGTAGTAGTAGTAGTAGTAGTAGTAGTAGTAGTA